GCGACTGTCTTGGTGTGTTTGGACCATGATAGTTTGTTGGTGATGTGGACACCAAGGAACTTGAAGCTCTCAACCTGTTCCACTAGAGCCCCGTCGATGAGAATGGGGGCGTGCTCGGTCCTCTTCTTTATCCTTTAGTCCACAATCATCTCCTTTGTCTTGATCACGTTGAGGGAGAGGTTGTTATCCTGGCACCACAAGGCCAGGTCTCTGACCTCCTCCCTATAGGCTGTCTTATTGTTGTCAGTGATCAGGCCTACCACTGTTGTGTCGTCAGCAAACTTAATGATGGTGTTGGAGTCGTGCCTGGCCATGCAGTCATGGGTGAACAGGGACTACAGGAGGGGACTGAGCACGCACCCCTGAGGGGCCCCCGTGTTGAGGATCAGTGTGGCAGATGTGTTGTTACCTTCCCTTACCACCTGGGGCAGCCCGTCAGGAAGTCCAGGACAAGGTTGCAGAGGGAGGTGTTTAGTGCCAGGGTCCATAGCTTAGTGATGTGCTTTGAGGGCACTATGGTGTTGAACGCTGAGCTGTACTTTTGTCCAGGTGGGAAAGAGCAGTGTGGAGTGCAATAGAGATTGCATCATCTGTGGATCTGTTGGGGCGGATGCAAATTGGAGTGGGTCTAGGGTTTCTGGGATAATGGTGTTGATGTGACCCATGACCAGCCTTTCAAAGCACTTCATGGCTACAGACGTGAGTGCTATTGGACGGTAGTTTAGGCAGGTTACCTTAGTGTTCTTGGGCACAGGGACTATGGTGGTCTGCTTGAAACATGTTGGTGTTACAGACTCAGACAGGGACAGGTTGAAAATGTCAGTAAAGACACTTTCCATTTGGTCAGTGCATGCTCGGAGTACACATCCTGGTAATCCGTCTGGCCCTGTGGCCTTGTGAACGTTGACCTGTTTAAAGGTCTTACTCACATCGGCCACGGAGAGCGTGATCACACAGTCATCTGGAACAGCTGATGCTCTCATGCATGTTTCAGTGTTGCTTGCCTTGAAGCGAGCATAGAAGTAATTTAGCTTGTCTGGTAGGCTCGTATCACTGGGCAGCTCGCGGCTGTGCTTCCCTTTGTAGTCTGTAATAGTTTGCAAGCCCTGACACATCCGACGAGCGTCGGAGCCGATGTAGTACGATTCAATCTTAGTCCTGTATTGACCCATTGCCTGTTTGATGGTTTGTCGGAGGGCATAGCGGGATTTCTTATAAGCTTCTGGGTTAGAGTCCCGCTCTACCCTTTAGCTCAGTGCGGATGTTGCCTGTAATCCATGGCTTCTGGTTGGGGTACGTACGATCACTGTGGGGACGACGTCATCAATGCACTTATTGATGAAGCCAGTGACTGATGTGGTGTACTCCTCAATGCCATCGGAAGAATCCCGGAACATATTCCAGTCTGTGCTAGCAAAACAGTCCTGTAGCTTAGCATCTGCGTCATCTGACCACTTCTGTATTGAAATTAGGTAAAACAGATTTAAGTCCATTTAAGGTCCACGGCCACTAGGAGCGCCGCCTCTGGATGAGCGTTTTCCTGTTTGCCTTATGGCCTTATACAGCTCATTGAGTGCGGTCTTAGTGCAATATTTTTTTGGGACGCATTAATCACAATGTGAGTAATGTGTCCGAAGGGGGAATTACCAGTCCCATGTGGGCCTTTGGTAAATAAGCAAATTGATTTTGTAAATATGCAAATTGAATTTTGTTCACATGCCTGTCTATAAAAGAAGAAATACATGTTGGTAATGGTTGACAGTTACTCCAAATGGATTGAAGTTTTCCCCACCTCGAGTGATATACAGTGAGGGAAAAAAGTATTTGATCCCCTGCTGATTTTGTACATTTGCCCACTGACAAAGACATGATCAGTCTATAATTTTAATGGTAGGTTTATTTGAACAGTGAGAGACAGAATAACATCAACAAAATCCAGAAAAATGCATGTCAAAAATGTTATAAATTGATTTGCATTTTAATGAGGGAAATAAGTATTTGACCCCTCTGCAAAACATGACTTGGTACTTGGTGGCAAAACCCTTGTTGGCAATCACAGAGCTCAGACGTTTCTTGTAGTTGGCCACCAGGTTTGCACACATCTCAGGAGGGATTTTGTCCCACTCCTCTTTGCAGATCTTCTCCAAGTCATTAAGGTTTCGAGGCTGACGTTTGGCAACTCGAACCTTCAGCTCCCTCCACATATTTTCTATGGGATTAAGGTCTGTAGACTGGCTAGGCCACTCCAGGACCTTAATGTGCTTCTTCTTGAGCCACTCCTTTGTTGCCTTGGCCGTGTGTTTTGGGTCATTGTCATGCTGGAATACCCATCCACGACCCATTTTCAATGCCCTGGCTGAGGGAAGGAGGTTCTCACCCAAGATTTGACGGTACATGGCCCCATCCATCGTCCCTTTAATGCGGTGAAGTTGTCCTGTCCCCTTAGCAGAAAAACACCCCCAAACCATAATGTTTCCACCTTCATGTTTGACGGAGGGGATGGTGTTCTTGGGGTCATAGGCAGCATTCCTCCTCCTTCAAACACGGCGAGGTGAGTTGATGCCAAAGAGCTCGATTTTGGTCTCATCTGACCACAACACTTTCACCCAGTTCTCCCCTGAATCATTCAGATGTTCATTGGCAAACTTCAGACGGGCCTGTATATGTGCTTTCTTGAGCAGGGGGACCTTGCAGGCGCTGCAGGATTTCAGTCCTTCACGGCGTAGTGTGTTACCAATTATTTTCTTGGTGACTATGGTCCCAGCTGCCCCAGGCTGAGGGAGATTGACAGTCATTTTGTGTTTCTTCCATTTGCGAATAATCGCACCAACTGTTGTCACCTTTTCACCAAGCTGCTTGGCGATGGTCTTGTAGCCCATTCCAGCCTTGTGTAGGTCTACAATCTTGTCCCTGACATCCTTGGAGAGCTCTTTGGTCTTGGCCATGGTGGAGAGTTTGGAATCTGATTGATTAATTGCCTCTGTGGACAGGTGTCTTTTATACAGGTAACAAACTGAGATTAGGAGCACTCCCTTTAAGAGTGTGCTCCTAATCTCAGCTCGTTACCTGTATAAAAGACACCTGGGAGCCAGAAATCTTTCTGATTGAGAGGGGGTCAAATACTTATTTCCCTCATTAAACGCAAATCAATTTATAACATTTTTGACATGCGTTTATCTGGATTTTGTTGTTGTGATTCTGTCTCTCACTGTTCAAATAAACCTACCATTACAATTATAGACTGATCATTTCTTTGTCAGTGGGCAAACGTACAAAATCAGCAGGGGATCCAATACTTTATTCCCTCACTGTATACTTGCAAGGAAAACGGCTAACGTTATTTCAACAGACTAAGGGTGTTTTGTCTGACTGAAAACCGTGAAAACGGTAAGTAACAAACGTTATGAATTATGAATTTGATGCTCATTCAGGTTAAATAGGTTGTTCTATCATAATTACGTAGCTAGCTAATGTTAGCTTGAGCCTTAGCTAGCTAGCTAATGACGTTAACTAGATAGCCATTTTCTGTGCTAATATCTCTGACTTTGGTAACGTTAGCTAGCTAGCTAACATTAGCCTCGCGACCGTGCTCGCAACGCTAGCTTACTGAAGTGTTGTTGCGGAATATAACTAAATGTACGTTTATTGTCGACATTTGGCTAGCTATCTAGCAAGCTAACTATGTCAGCATCTGTAACGGTAGCTAGCTAGAGTTTGCTAGCTAGCTACTTTAGCTAGCTTAGTCTGACACTTCTGGACTGTCTCGGACACAATTTCACTCGTTAGCTAACATTAGCTAAGTTAGCTGGATAGCTAAGTTAGCATAGCTAGATTTGACTTATTCTCCACCTGGGTTAATTTAACCAAGCTTTTTGGCAGGGTTATCTCATGCTTGCATGGTAATTGATTGAGTTAACTTAGCTAGCGTTACTGTACTGTTTTTCCATGGTTTCTGACAGTGGCAGCTTTAGTCGGACTGAAGTTGAGGAGGATGGATGCAAATTCTGTTAGCTAGCTAGCTAACGTTAGAGTTTACCTTAACTAGCTATGTTTCTAACGTTTTTTTTATTTCTGTATTGAAAAGCAGAGGTCAAGGCCAAAGTTTGAGACCAAGTAAAACTGAGAAATTCCTTTTTGAGAGTGGGGACAGACCTTTGGGGGGAAGAAAACACTGATTTTCATTGAAACTCTGTAAAACAGCATTTACATCTTCGATAACCAATAGTTCAACCTTAATGGAACAATGTAGACTAGATACATTACATGCACAGCTACCTTATATAGTCTGGCCTTAATTTTACCATACCTGCTTTATTGGTCATTTGCACAGATATTCTGTCACAGTAACCAACCTGACACACAACACACACATCACAGGCTGGGAGCAGCTCAAAGTGCCTTGCTCAAGAGCACAACAGCAGTAGGTAGTATTCAGAGTTATTGTAGCTAGTAACCCTCTGGCTGACGGATCACTCCCGGCAGATTTCCCCACAGGCAACTCGTGGGTTCAAATATTGGCCTGCCTTTTTAACCTCTAAGCTACTGCTGTTCCTATTCATTATGCTCTTTCCTCACTCCCTTGCCTTTGTTCTACCATTTGACCTGGCTTATCAACCCTTCCCTCAAAGTATTTAATTTAGAAACGTGGGTGAAAATCTCCCTTAAAATCTCCCACCTAGCGATTAAGCCTAGCTGTTAAGGGTGTTGGGCCAGTAACTGATAGGTCACTGGTTCGAATCCCCAAACCAGCAAGGTGGAAAATCTGCCGTTCTGCCCTTGAGCAAGGCAGATAACCCCCAACAACAACTGCTCCCAAGGTACCGAAGACGTGAATGTCTATTAACACCAAGCGACACACCAGGCTTGAGAAGTAGCCGGGTCTCGCCAGGTACATGTTTAAAGATTTGTTGTGTATTTTGAAAACTGATTGTTAAAAGGAATGTATAATGAATGTAATACTTTTTGCTCACGACAGAGTCAGAAGTGAGAGGGCAGCCCAGATGACCAAGTGGCTGAACAACATCTGGCCGGCAAACCAGGTTGCGGAGTACATGAAGGAGACTACGATCCAGAGGGCTCAGTGGATCAGACAGAATGGGGCCAAGACAGTCGAGATAGTCAGAGAGTATCTACGTCTGCTGGATACTCCAGGCATGGTGGGTACATTGTTTTTACAAAAACATTAGATTAACTAGCCTGGCTGACATGACCCATGTGACTCACAGCACAGGGAGAGCTGTGACCACACTGATCTGGATAGGAGGCTGTTTGTTAATGCAATATTTGCCAATAAATAGTGCAACAGGGTTTGATTGGTTCTCTCTAGGGCTGTGGTGGTCACGGAATTGTCAGCCGGTGATTGTCAAGCAAATAATTGACCGTTAATTAACATAAACACATTTAGCATCTCCTGGCTTCCACACATAGCATACAAGCCACTGATGCAGACCTTAAAAAGTCTAATAAATTCATGTAATATAGCCTACACCTTCACAGTAAATCCATTATTTATTTTAGACAGGTCTAAAGAAGCATGATATGAAGAAAATGTAGTCTATTTCAGAAGAAAAGAATAGCATACTCTGAGTTGTCCTTATGTTAGGTCCTGATGTGGCTATGCCAAATGGCTGTGTGCTACACTAGTTCATTTAGCAGACAAGATGTGCTTAGAATTCTGTGGCATTATTTTTATTATTTTATAGTATGAAGAATACAATTGAACAAAGCTGAATAAAATATAAATATTTTCTCCAAACGATTTGAGGGAGTGCGCACATGCGGCTATTCTGTGTTGAGCAGACAACAAAGAAATAGGTACTCCTATATGCTTAATTTAGAGTTATTAATGTAACTTTAATTGTTCTACAAACGTTGGGCTATATGTTTTGATTTTTAATACATTGTAAGGCTGCATGATGCGACTCTAATGATGATTTGAAAAAAGTTGCTTGAAAGGCATGCGCTCTGCATAGTTTTTTTGTGCAGGCTGTACACACTACATCAGTCACTCATTCACAATTTGACAAGCACTTGATAATGCCTAGAATTTCACGGCGGCATCCCCTTTGTGGCCGTAATGCACCCTAAAAAAATCTATGCCTTTTGCGGCCAGTGGCCGTTGTGCTCTTCTCCCTGAGTGCTGAGTGCTCTGAATCACCTCTCACTCACATGGCTCTCCATCACATGATCGAGTCTTTCTCACAGTCTACAAGTATGAAAAATAAATATATATACTGTATGTATGCACTCACTAACTGTAAGTCGCACTGGATAAGAGTGTCTGGTAAATGACTAAAATGTAAAATGTAAGACAGACATATCGGGGATGACGTGCATATTGATGATATTGGAAGAACTGTCCACATTTACTTTTCGTCAGCCAACAAGATGAGTAGGCCTAACGAACAGTAAAAGCACTAGCCTATGTCAATCTACTATCCCCCATAGTACAAAAGCCGACCTATTCTATTCTGTGCGAGAAATACATATTCCAAACATAGGCTGGGACAGTTGTGGGATGTGATAGATCCCAAATTAATACAACTACTAGCATCAAAAAACCTTTTTTACGCAATGTGGCTGAATCAACTGATCAGAACGTTTAGCTTAAAATGTTGAAAAACTACTAGGCTAGTTCTTCACATTATAAGCGCAGCAATGCGCACATGGTAGTTGGCTATAAGCGCAAATGTTCCATTAGCGGAAAAAAACATTATCAAAAGTGCCTGCAAATGCAATTATGCATGTAATGCTTTTATTATAAAGGTGCATTGATATGGTGAAAATTATCTTCCCCAAACTTGAAACTCATGCGCTGTTTATGTATGCCAGTTAGGCTCTACACCCCTTGTAAAGCGGATTAATGTGCTTAATTTGAATAAGTTATTTGGCCACTTTAGTTGTGATACAAACCTTATCAAAACATATAGGCCAATGGACTAGGCTACATGAGGTGTGTGACTATGATTCAAAAAAGTTGCAAAAAAAAGGCATTGTTTCTTATGCTGGGCATCATTCACAAGTGATAATATATAATTCACAAGTTATAGGCTAATATTGTCACCCAGCAGACTATTCTTGATTTAATATTGTCTTTACATATACTAAATGATATATGTGTGAAATTTGTTTTGATTTAGAATGGACCATTATCATGCACCTGTGTCGAAACAGGGGCAGCGGGAAAAAATACATGCACTTACAGTTGAAATCGGAAGTTTACATACACTTAGGTTGGAGTCATTAAAACTCGTTTTTCAACCACTCCACAAATTTCTTGTTAACAAACTATAGTTTTGGCAAGTCGGTTAGGACATCTACTTTGTGCATGACACAAGTAATTTGTTTACAGACAGATTATTTCACTTATAATTCACTGTATCACAATTCCAGTGGGTCAGAAGTTTACATACACTAAATTAACTGTGCCTTTAAACAGCTTGTAAAATTCCAGAAAATGATGTCATGGCTTTAGAAGCTTCTGATAGGCTAATTGACATCATTTGAGTCAATTGGAGGTGTACCTGTGGATGTATTTCAAGGCCTACCTTCAAACTCAGTGCCTCTTTGCTTGACATCATGGGAATATCAGCCAAGACCTCACAAAAAAATGCCTGAAGGTACCACGTTCATCTGTACAAACAATAGTACGCAAGTATAAACAGCATGGGACCACGCAGCCGTCATCCCGCTCAGGAAGGAGACGCGTTCTCCTAGAGATGAACGTACTTGGTGCGAAAAGTGCAAATCAATCCCAGAACAACAGCAAAGGACCTTGTGAAGATACTGGAGGAAACAGGTACAAAATTATCTATATCCACAGTAAAACGAGTCCTATATCGACATAACCTGAAAGGCCGCTCAGCAAGGAAGAAGCCACTGCTCCAAAACCGCAATAAAGAAGCCAGACTACGGTTTGCAACTGCACATGGGGACAAAGATCATACTTTTTTGAGAAATGTCCTCTGGTCTGATGAAACAAAAATAGAACTGTTTGGCCATAATGACCATCGTTATGTTTGGAGGAAAAAGGGGCGGCTTGCAAGCCGAAGAACACCATCCCAACTGTGAAGCATCATGCTGTGGGGGTGCTTTGCTGCAGGAGGGACTGATGCACTTCACAAAATAGATGGCATCATTACATTTACATTTTTACATTTGAGTAATTTAGCAGACGCTCTTATCCAGAGCGACTTCCAATTAGTGAGTGCATACATTTTTCATACTGGCCCCCGTGGGAAACGAACACACAACCCTTGCATTGCAAGCGCCATGCTCTACCAACTGAGCTACAGGAGGGCCAATCATGAAGATTATGTGGATATATTGAAGCAACATCTCAAGATATCAGTCAGGAAGTTAAAGCTTGGTCGCAAATGGGTCATCCAAATGGACAATGACCCCAAGCATACTTCCAAAGTTGTGGCAAAATGGCTTAAGGACAACAAAGTCAAGGTATTGAAGTGGCCATCACAAAGTCCTGACCTCAATCCTATAGAAAATGTGTGGGCAGAACTGAAAAAGCGTGTGCGAGCAAGGAGGCCTACAAATCGGACTCAGTTACACCAGCTCTGTCAGGAGGAATGAGCCAAAATTCACCCAACTTATTTGTGGAAGGCTACCCAAAACGTTTGACCCAAGTTAAACAATTTAAAGGGAACGCTACCAGGAATGCCATACTCCTGTTGTAAATGTCAGCAATGTGCTTAATAGTAGGAAAGTTGAGAAATAAATATAGTAGGCCTAGCCTATAGAAAGCTGATGGGATCCTCCTCTTTTTAGTAGAGGCCATCACTCTGTTTTCTCGCGCAATTGCATAGCCTATGGAAATGTTGCGCAACATGAGCTCATGGGCTCTCATTAAGATTTTGATTAGATTTTCGATACATTTGCATTGATGTCAGAGTGATTAGAGGGAAAATAGGGTGCTGAGTACCAAGCAGTTAACAAGTTTGGTAGGCTACTAATGACCATCAACAGCATTAGAGCTTGGTGAAGCCTAATTACCATGACTAAACGGTCACGTGGAATTTGACTGCCTTCATGACTTGTGGCGGTTATACGGTCACCGCAACAGCCCTCACTGCAACAGCCCTAGTTCTCTCAAAGTTTTTTTTTTTATTCCTTAGGGTTGAGACCTCTCATTTTTGGGATTTAAAAAATCCAACGATTGTAAAAGAAGGGGGCGACACTCAGGGGCATTGTGTGTTTGAGTGAGAAAGACAGAGGAGCGCCAACCAGTAAAAGCACAGCCCCCTTCATTATTGACACATTGTGCCGGCAACATCAAAGAGCCATTCCAGACTCTGAAGTCAGGAGTACTTCAATAGTTAGATGTTAGCCAGACTAGTGATTAACTGCAATGGAAAAGTAATTGTTTGGCTACAACATAACAACATTTGAAGTCATATGGGGCAGAGTCTCACAATAATTAGAAACAGCATTGGGTGTGGATACGGTGGGAACGTGTGGATTTGAGGAAGTGTGATGTCATTAATGTTTGTGGATATGTACGTAAAGGTTAAGTTGTCTGTTAATTTTGTCAATGTATGTTTTTGTTTGTCAAAAAAACAAAAAGTTAAATAAAATATTACAAAAAAAGTAATTGTCTGCTTTGTGTGTTGGCTCTTGGGGACTGCTCACAGGTGTTTACAGTCATTAGTGGACTGGCATTGGAGCAAGGTACATTGCTTGGGGCACAGGGTGTGTGCTTCATGTCTTATTATGTATTTGATATCAACTTTCCCACTGTGCCTCTGCATGGGAAGTTCTACAGACCACGGTGTATCAGCTGCCAGGAACAGAATCACTCACAGTAAGACTGATGCGAACATGTCTTTTTTCCACTGAACAATAGTGGATAAGTATCTGCTCTTGTATGTAGTGTGAGAAGTGACAGGAGGAAGCAGATCAATGGATGGATGGATGAGCCATGAGTGTGTCATTCTAATGCTTTTATGCTCTTAAGGCACTATTTATAGCTCTGTTAAATTGACTTTTTTTATGTATTTGGGCCTGCTTTTTGCCTACAGTACAGTATGTGGCTCATTTGCCTTTAGTTCAACTACTGAAGAATGTTCTGGTATGCTTTCATTCTATCACAACAATTTATTTTAAATACAAATGTTACGTGTAGTCCCCTGAGTGGCGCAGTGGTCTAAGGCGCCGCATCGCAGTGCTAACTGTGCCACTAGAGATCCTGGTTCGAATCCAGGCTCTGTCGCAGCCGGCCGCGACCGGGAGACTCATGGGCGGCGCACAATTGGCCCAGGGTAGGGGAGGGAATGGCCGGCAGGGATGTAGCTCAGTTGATAGAGCATGGCGTTTGCAACGCCAGGGTTGTGGGTTCGATTCCCACGGGGGGCCAGTAAAAAATATATATATATGTATTCACAAACTGTAAGTCGCTCTGGATAAGAGCATCTGCTAAATGACTTAAATGTAAATGTGTTGGGGATTGTGAAAAGTACTTTATGAATGAAATACAGTTATTAAGTAATGAGTCATTAGTCCATGTCCTTAGTAGAGTGACCTTCGAATGTAATATTTTACACTTGTTCTGTATAACAATGTTTTAACTGAACCCAAATGTACACCATTATTGTATGGAAAAACATCATGGTGTGTGTGTGCTGTCACCTAAGATAGCCAAAGTGTGTCAGTGAATGTGAATATCCATTGATTAGCTCTGGCACTGTCTGATTGACAGATCTGTGTTAATACCGCTTAAGACAGACAGTGTCACACGCACGCATGCTTTGTTTTTCACAGATTCCAATCTGATTGTGCACATCAAGTTCAACTGAGGCTTTAGTCTGATGTTTGGACTGTTTAGTTCATGACCTAATATAAATACATTCTAATAATTAATCATATCTTATGAAATCTTATCTTATCTTGTAAAATAATACATATTTAGACAATATGGCTTTGTTTCAATATGCTAATTTAAAAAGGTATATATTCTTGTACATTCTGTGACGTGATGTATGTTCTGAAATGCAGGCATTAGAAATGAATTCAAAATTCTATCTTGATTGTGTGTATGTAGGAAGGAGGGGATGGTAGAGAAGGAAATTGTTATTTTATTAGGATGACACTGAAAATAAACCAAGGATTACATAAATTACCCAGCTGCTGGGTCAATCCCCCAACCCAATGTGCTGGGTTTATGTCACAACCCAACATACTGGGTTGTTTTAACACAGCAATATAGTCTAATTTACCAGGCAGTTGGGTCAAGCACTCAACCCAATGGGCTGGGTTAGAAGCACAAGCCAAACCTGCTTGGTTGAATTAACCCAATATTGACCCAGCGCTGGGTTGTTGAAATTACCCAAATTTGGTTATTTTTACACAGTATTTTTTAAGTGTAAGAATATTCATTTTGAAAAAATAATATGAATTGCCATATTAGGCATAACTCAATTTCTACCTTTTAAGATGCCAATATAGAAATAGTTTTCAGTATCCTCATTTTGTTTGGTTTTCTGATTGTTTCAGTGCCTGCATTCATCAAGCTTTGGATGAAGGACTTCCACAGGGACACCATTTGCAAAGTTCACACAAAAAGGTAATAGTTCTGAATGCGGTTTGATTTTGTTTTTGCTGTTTTAATGATTAAAATGTCGATAATTATCTTTTAAACTTCCATTAGTTAATCTATTGCTCAGTTATCACTTGGCTCATGCAAATACTTCTGTAATTGACCCTTTAAATATTCTTAGGTCAACATCCCAATAGTGTTCACATTTCTCTCATGTAAATGTGGTAGCTACATAAAAAGATTAAACAATGTATTTGGGAAATGTCACGCCCTGGCTCTGGGGACACTGTTATGTTGAGCCAGGGTGTGTATTCTATGTTTATATTTCTCTGATTGGGAGCCATATTTAACTGTCTGTCTTTCACTTTGTGTTTGTGGTTTCTTGTTCTTGTTTGGTTTGTGTTAAACCGTAGACATCACGTTATCGTCCGTTGTTTTGATCGTGTGATCATTCTATTAATAAATATGTACGCATTAAACGCTGCGCCTTGGTTCTCCTCCTTAGACGATCGTGACAGAAGAAACCACCAAGATGTGACCAAGCAGCGTGTCCAGGAGCCATCGCCAGGGAGATCTCTAACAGATCTCCTTCGCCTCCTCGACTGGGTTAAGCCGGATGAGGAGGAGAGGGGCTTGACATTGTGGCAGAAGGGCGAACGGCTGGCGAGGGACATGGAGACCTTGGCCACGGGTAGGAGTGAAGCCCAGAAAATTTTTAGGGGGGGGGTACTGTCACGCCCTGGCTCTGGGGACACTGTTATGTTGAGCCAGGGTGTGTATTCTATGTTTATATTTCTCTGATTGGGAGCCATATTTAACTGTCTGTCTGTCACTTTGTGTTTGTGGTTTCTTGTTCTTGTTTGGTGTGTGATTCTGTCATAAATGCTGTAGGTGGGTGTAGTGGTGGAATCAAGCGCAGGACACCGAAGTATAGTCCAAAAGACTTTAGTGGAATATCCAACAAGGAAAACAGAACAAACTTGCCCGAAGGCGAAACTACGCACGTAGGCGACAAACAAAAGGCGCACTACACAGGTGCGTAAAACGCTCCAACACAGTGGAGTAAAACTCAACCGAGCGAATAAGGAAATCGACAAGCAAACATACGACAGGAACAGTCACACCCAAACACAGACACACCCAACGAGACTTAAATAGAACACTAATGAGGACTAACTAGACACAGGTGTACAACATCAAGACCAAACCAAACGAACATGAAACATAGATCGGTGGCAGCTAGTACTCCGGGGACGACGACCGCCGATGCCTGCCCGAACCAGGAGGAGGAGCAGCCTCGGCCGAAACCGTGACAGGAAATATCCAGTCTTTGCTCTTTTCTTCATACCCTGCTGATTTCAAGATGTATTTGATAATTTTTGAACTGTTAAAGACATGTTGTTTAGTGTATTTACTACATTTAGTATGTTTAGTTTTTTTCTCTGTGAAGAAAATTCATTTAAAGTTATGTGATTTGTTTTTTTGTAGATACATTTCCATGTTTAACACACAGTAACCAAAAACCTGATCAAATTTGCATATTCATTCTGAGTTTGCAGCAATCAGAATGTTCGCCACAAGTTTCCCTGAATTGTTTGCTAGCAGTTCACAAGTTACTGCAAATTTACTGCAACAGTTTGCCACAAAACTAATTTGCATGTGAAAATATGAGCTTGCCGCAAATTTGCAGCAAATTGGCCAAAGGTTTGCCACAACTGTTTGCCAGAAGCCCGTTTTTTCGGTAAGGGTTTCCAGGTTTTGGATTTTACATTAAAAAAAAAAAAAATCTGTGTTCAGATCAATGCTTAAACCACACCAACTTATGGCACCACTGGACAGTGAAAAACTAGTAAGTTCACCTTTATTAATTGTAATTTAAATTAGTTTGTAGTAGTTAAGTGTTGAGTTTACAGAGATACCTCAATCATTATTTCAAATAATTTCGGTGACTTTACAGCAATTGATAGCTAGCTAGCTAACGAAATGTAGCTAGCTAGCAGGCTCAGCTAAATAAAAATCCCCCTAGAAACAACCAAGTCTCATAGTCACATCATGAGATTTGTAAATGAAAGAGGAATATAATAATACAAATCGAATGGAGTTTCCCATCTCCTCACTTAGATTATTTCTGGGGCAACACAGATATGGCCTTATCCAGATGGTGTGACAAAGGCATTTCCTAACAGACCTGCTAACTTTATTTGTTGTTACTTTTAAGATTTAACCAACATGCAGAACCTCCAGCAAGCAGAGAGGCAAGAACCCTTCATATGCCAGCTCAGGAACAAGCTACACTATTCACAGCCCTGTTTCAATGTAATTACATTTCTGGACTTTTTGAAACACTGTATTTGTACAAACGTACAAATAAAAGGAAATGTATGGTTTAAACATGTTTTAGCTGTTAATGAATTCCCTAAGTGTTAATACATTTGTGTTAACATCATTAAGCCTTTATGTATGTGTTATGAATCACCAAATCTGTCTGACTTTATAGTAAGTACAGCGTCATATAATACAAGGCATTTATGCACAGTACCGGTCAAAAGTTTGGACACACCTACTCATTCAAGGGTTTTTCTTTCTTTCTTTATTTTTATTTTGTATTTTTACAATTTTCTACATTGTAGAATAATAGTGAAGAGATCAAAACGATGAAATAACATCTATGGGATTATGTAGTAACCAAAAAAGTGTTAAACCAATCAAAATATACACTGCTCAAAAAAATAAAGGGAACACTAAAATAAAACATCCTAGATCTGAATGAATGAAATAATCTTATTAAATACTTTTTTCTTCACATAGTTGAATGTGCTGACAACAAAATCACACAAAAATTATCAATGGAAATAAAATGTTTCAACCCATGGAGGTCTGGATTTGGAGTCACCCTCAAAATTAAAGTGGAAAACCACACTACAGGCTGATCCAACTTTGATGTAATGTCCTTAAAACAAGTCAAAATGAGGCTCAGTAGTGTGTGTGGCCTCCACGTGCCTGTATGACCTCCCTACAACACCTGGGCATGCTCCTGATGAGGTGGCGGATGGTCTCCTGAGGGACCTCCTCCCAGACCTGGACTAAAGCATCCGCCAACTCCTGGACAGTCTGTGGTGCAACGTGGCATTGGTGGATGGAGCGAGACATGATGTCCCAGATGTGCTCAGTTGGATTCAGGTCTGGGGAACGGGTGGGCCAGTCCATAGCATCAATGCTTTCCTCTTGCAGGAACTGCTGACACACTCCAGCCACATGAGGTCTAGCATTGTCTTGCATTAGGAGGAACCCAGGGCCAACCGCATCAGCATATGGTCTCACAAGGGGTCTGAGGATCTCATCTCGGTACCTAATGGCAGTCAGACTACCTCTGGCGAGCACATGGAGGGCTGTGCGGCCCCCCAAAGAAATGCCACCCCACACCATGACTGACCCACCGCCAAACCTGTCATGCTGGAGGATGTTGCAGGCAGCAGAATGTTCTCCACGGTGTCTCCAGACTCTGTCACGTCTGTCACATGCTCAGTGTGAACCTGCTTTCATCTGTGAAGAGCACAGGGCGCCAGTGGCGAATTTGCCAATCTTGGTGTTCTCTGGCAAATGCCAAACGTCCTGCACGGTGTTGGGCTGTAAGCACAACCCCCACCTGTGGACGTTGGGCCCTCACACCACCCTCATGGAGTCTGTTTCTGACCGTTTGAGCAGACACATGCACATTTGTGGCCTGCTGGAGGTCATTTTGCAGGGCTCTGGCAGTGCTCCTCCTGCTCCTCCTTGCACAAAGGCGGAGGTAGCGGTCCTGCTGCTGGGTTGTTGCCCTCCTACGGCCTCCTCCACGTCTCCTGATGTAGTGGCCTGTTTCCTGGTAGCGCCTCCATGCTCTGGACACTACGCTGACAGACACAGCAAACCTTCTTGCCACAGCTCGCATTGATGTGCCATCCTGGATGAGCTGCACTACCTGAGCCACTTGTGTGGGTTGTAGACTCCGTCTCATGCTACCACTAGAGTGAAAGCACCGCCAGCATTCAAAAGTGACCAAAACATCAGCCAGGAAGCATAGGAACTGAGAAGTGGTCTGTGGTCACCACCTGCAAAACCAGTCCTTTATTGGGGGTGTCTTGCTAATTGCCTATAATTTCCACCTGTTGTCTATTCCATTTGCACAACAGCATGTGACATGTATTGTCAATCAGTGTTGCTTCCTAAGTGGACAGTTTGATTTCACAGAAGTGTGATTGACTTGGAGTTACATTGTGTTGTTTAAGTGTTCCCTTTATTTTTTTGAGCAGTGTATTATATATTTGAGATTCTTCAAATAGCCAGCCTTTGACTTGATGTCAGCTTTGCACACTCATGGTATTCTCTCAACCAGCTTAACGAGGTAGTCACCTGGAATGCATTTCAATTAGCAGGTGTGCCTTCTTAAAAGTTAATTTGTGGAATTTCTTTCCTTCTTAATGCGTTTGAGCCAATCAGTTGTGTTGTGACAAGGTAGGAAGGGTATACAGAAGATAGCCCTATTTGGTAAAATACTAAGTCCATATTATGGCAAGAACAGCTCAAATAAGCAAAGAGAAACGACAGTCCATCATTACTTTAAGACATGAAGGTCAGTCAATATGGAAAAAATCAAGAACTTTGAACGTTTCTTCAAGTGCAGTCACAAAAACCATCAAGCGCTATGATGAAACTGGCTCTCATGAGGACCGCGACAGGAATGGAAGACCCAGAGTTAACTTTGCTGCAGAGGATAAATTCATTAGAGTTACCAGCCTCAGAAATTGCAGCCTAAATAAATGCTTCACAGACTTCAAGTAACAGACACATCTCAACATCAACTGTTCAGAGGGGACTGTGTGAATCAGGCCTTCATGGTCGAATTGCTGCAAAGAAACCACTACTAAAGGACACCAATAAGAAAAAGAGACCTGCTTGGGCCAAGAAACACGAGCAATGGACATTAGACCGGTGGAAATGTGTCCTTTGGTCTGGAGTCCAAGTTGGAGATTTTTGGTTCCAACCGCTGTGTCTTTGTGAGACGCGGTGTGTTTGAACGGATGATCTCTGCATGTGTAGTTCCCACCATAAAGCATGGAGGAGGAGGTGTTATGGTGTGGGGGTGCTTAGCTGATGACACTGTCTGTGATTTATTTAGAACTCAAGGCACACTTAACCAGCATGGCTACCACAGCATTCTACAGCGATACGCCATCAAATCTGGTTTGGGCTCAGTGGGACTATCATTTCTTTTTCAACAGGACAATTACCCAACACACCTTCAGGCTGTGTAAGGGCTATTTTACCAAGATGGAGAGTGATGGAGTGCTGCATCAGATGACCTGGCCTCCACAATCCCCCGACCTCAACCCAGTTGAGATGGTTTGGGATGAGTCGGACCACAGAGTGAAGGAAAAGCATTCCAGGTGAAGCTGGTTGAGAGAATGCATAGAATGTGCAAAGCTGTCATCAAGGCAAAGGGTGGCTATTTGAAGATTCTCAAATATAAAATATACTTTGATTTGTTTAACACTTCTTTGTTTACTAAATGATTCCATATGTGTTATTTCATAGTGTTGATGTCTTCACTATTATTCTACAGTGTAGAAAATAGTAAAAATTAAGAAAAACCCTTGAATGAGTAGGTGTGTCCAAACTTTTGACTGGTACTATATGTGTTATAAATGAGCAAATGGGTCTGACTTTAAAGTAAGTACAGGTGTCATCCAATACAGAGTCTTTATTGATGTGTTATGAATGACCGAAGGTGTCACACTTCAAACTAAGTATTAGAGGACACTACATAAAGTGTCAGTAAATAGGTTATTAATGTTCTGCTGATTTATGAAGGACAGCCACAGAGTCATAATTCTAGCTAATCCCTGCCCATTTCCACAATTTATTTTCTTAAAATGTTATTTTAAAACTAAGCCTAACCCTAACTAATGAAGGTCAAGTTTGATGCGTTGGTCCACCAGACCTTCTGCGCATTTGGGTGGATGTGTCCGCGAACTAAATGAGGTGTAATGTGACTAACATGATTTCACTTTAGAGCAATTGCCATCCTTCAGCACAAGATGTCACCCTTTATAAAGCACATGATTATATCATATTTGACATACGTGGGTTATGTCACATTTGACATCGGTAATTATGTCACACAGTTATGATACATTTATGAACCCTTTATAAAGTATGACATGTAACACATTTATGTAGTGCCTATGAAGGCTTTATGAAGTCATTTAAAGAGGGACCGAACAGGCCATATCATGTCAACATTTCCTTCTCCTAAATGCCTAAGACACTGTGCTCAATTTGCATTAGAAACAAGACCAAAAAGCCATCTGTCACAATTTTCCCAATTCATTTTGCCATCTTAAAAATGCTGAATGCTACGAAAACCAATAGCTAACATAAAACAATGCTCTTTCCCCTGAGAGGTTGGGCTGTCTTTGGTATGCAGATGTCCTTTTGAAATCAAGAGAGAACATAAATTTAGACATTCAAACGATTTAAAATTGGGAGGCATGGTAATGTGAATGGCTTCAATAGCTCCAGAAAGTCTGTGTAAACTGTATGGCCCCCAGGAGGGCTGCTAGGATGCTGATGCATGGCTGGAATTAGAAGTGAGCTTCAGACACTAATTGACTCCTGATCCCTTTATAGAAGATTAATCAGCCAGGCACTGGATCAATGGCTGATGAAAATGCCAGCGGAGGCGAGAGCCGCCATCAATGTAAATGAGCCAAGGCCTAGTGCCCCTCTCTCTCTCATGTTCCACACTGTCAAGCCAAAGTTTCACAGCCAGGAGAGAGGCCCTATTCCCAAATGGACTGAAAAACAAATACATTGTGACAGAGGAACAGTCTATTTTAAATTAAATTATGATAGTGATACAGTTGAGGTGTTATTCCTCCGAGTGTTTGGCAAAATGCCCTCTTAGCGTTCTCATCTCTAGCCCAGTCATCTGTGATCCATTGGAGAAGCTCAATTAATCAATGTTCCTAAAGGTGAGGCTCTTTCAAAGCATGTGGAGCCTAATGACTGACCGCACATCTATTAATCTCACTTCATTTGATCTGCTTAGTCATGTAACAGCATATATATACTATATAAACTCAGCAAAAAAAGAAATGTCCCTTTTTCAGGACACTGTCTTTCAAATATAATTCGTAAAATCCAAATAACTTCACAGATCATTGTAAAGGGTTTAAACACTGTTTCCTATGCTTGTTCAATGAACCATAAACAATTAATGAACATGCACCTATGGAACGGTCGTTAAGACACTAAGCTTACAGACGGTAGGCAAGAAAGGTCACAGTTATGAAAACTTAGACACTAAAGAGGACTTTCTTCTGACTCTGAAAAACACCAAAAGAAAGATGCCCAGGGTCCCTGCTCATCTCCGTGAACGTGCCTTAGGCATGCTGCAAGGAGGCATGTGGACTACAGATGTGGCCAGGGCAATAAATTGCAATGTCCGTACTGTGTAACGCCTAAGACAGCGCTACAGGGAGACAGGACGGACAGCTGATCGCCCTCGCAGTGGCAGACCATTTGTAACAACACCTGCACAGGATCGGTACATCCGAACATCACACCTGCGGGACAGGTACAGGATGGCAACAACAACTGCCCAAGTTACACCAGGAACGCACAATCCCTCCATCAGTGCTCAGACTGTCCGCAATAGGCTGAGGGCTTGTAGGCCTGTTGTAAGGCAGGTCCCTACCAGACATCACCGGCAACAACGTCGCCTATGGGCACAAACCCACCGTCGATGGACCAGACAGGACTGGCAAAAAGTGCTCTTCACTAACGAGTCGTGGTTTTGTCTCACCAGCGGTGATGGTCGGATTTGCATTTATCGACGAAGGAATGAGCATTACACCAAGGCCTGTACTCTGGAGTGGGATCGATTCTGGGGCGGTGTGTCACAGCATCATCGGACTGAGCTTGTTGTCATTGCAGGCATTCTCAATGCTGTACGTTACTGGGAAGACATCCTCCTCCCTCATGTGATACCCTTCCTGCAGGCTCATCCTGACATGACCCTCCAGCATGACAATGCCACCAGCCATACTGCTCGTTCTGTGCTTGATTTCCTGCAAGACAGGAATGTCAGTGTTGTGCCATGGCCAGCGAAGAGCCCGTATCTCAATCCCATTGAGCACGTCTGGGACCTGTTGGATCGGAGGGTGAGGGCTAGGGCCATTCCTCCCCGAAATGTCCGGGAACTTGCAGGTGCCTTGGTGGAAGAGTGGGGTAACATCTCACAGCAAGGACTGGCAAATCTGGTGCAGTCCATGAGGAGGAGATGCACTGCAGTACTTAATGCAGCTGGTGGCCACACCAGATACTGACTGTTACTTTTGATTTTGTTGTTGAATCTTGTTATGTTCATACAAATATTTACACATGTTAAGTTTGCTGAAAATAAACACAGTTGACAATGAGAGGACGTTTCTTTTTTTGCTGAGTTTAGAGATATACAAAAGTATGCGGACACCCCTTCAAATTAGTGGATTCGGCTATTTCAGCCACACCCGTTGCTGACAGGTTTTTAAATTAGAGCACACAGCCATGCAATCTCCATAGACAACATTGGCAGTAGAATGGCCTTACTGAAGAGGTCAGTGACTTTCAACGTGGCACCGTCATAGGATACCACCTTTCCAATGAGTCAGTTTGTTAAATTTCTGCCCTGCTAGAACTGCCCCGGTCAACTGTAAGTGCTGTTATTTTGAAGTGAAAACATCTAGGAGCAACAATGGCTCAGCCGCAAAGTTATCGGCCACACAAGCAACACAGAACGGGACCGCCGAGTGCTGAAGCGCGTAAATATAATCTGCCCTCGGTTGCAACACTCATTATTGAGTTCCAAACTGCCTCTGGAAGCAACGTCAGTACAATAACTGTTCGTCTGAAGCTTCATGAAATGGGTTTCCATGGCCAAGCAGCCGCACACAAGCCTAAGATCACCATGCGCAATGCCAAGCAAGCATCGGCTGGAGTGGTTTTCATGGTTGGGGCTAGGCCCCTTAATTCCAGTAAAGGGAAATCTCAACGCTACAGCATACAATGACATTCTAGATGATTCTGTGCTTCCAACTTTATGGCAACAGTTTGGGGAAGGCCCTTTCCTATTTCAGCATGACAATGCCCCCGTGCACAAACCGAGGTCCATACAGAAATGGTTTGTCGGAATTGGTGTGGAAGAACTTGACTGGCCTGCACAGAGCCCTCACCTCAACCCAATCGAACACCTTTGGGATGAATTGGAACGCCGACTGCGATGCAGGCCTAATCGCCCAAAATCAGTGCCCGACCTCGAAGCACCAGTGCACCAGTGATTCGGTTAATAAAAAAGTGGTCAGATGACGCAGATGCTAAGCTACAGGACTGTTTTGCTAGCACAGACTGGAACATGTTCCGGGATTCTTCAGACAGCATTGAGGAGTACACCACATCAGTCACTGGCTTCATCAATAAGTGCATCGATGATGTCGTCCCCACAGTGACCGTACGTACATACCCCAACCAGAAGCCATGGATTACAGGAAACATCCGCACTGAGCTAAAGGGTAGAGCTGCCGCTTTCAAGGAACGGGACTCTAACCCGGACGCTTATAAGAAATCCCGCTATGACCTCCGACGAACCATCAAACAGGCAAAGAGTCAATACAGGTCTAAGATTGAATCATACTACACTGGCTCTGACGCTCGTCGGATGTGGCAGGGCTTGAAAACTATTACAGACTACAAAGGGAAGCACAGCCGCGAGCTGCCCAGTGACACAAGCCTACCAGACGAGCTAAACCACTTCTATGCTCGCTTCGAGGCAAGCAACACTGAAGCATGCATGAGAGCACCAGCTGTTCCGGATGACTATGTGATCACGCTCTCCGTAGCCGATGTGAGTAAGACTTTTAAGCAGGTCAACATTCACAAGGCCGCAGGGCCAGACGGATTACCAGGACGTGTACTCCGAGCATGTGCTGACCAACTGGCAAGTGTCTTCACTGACATTTTCAACATGTCCCTGACTGAGTCTGTAATACCAACATGTTTCAAGCAGACCACCATAGTCCCCGTGCCCAAGAACTCTAAGATAACCTGCCTAAATGACTACCGACCCGTAGCACTGACGTCTGTAGCCATGAAGTGCTTTGAAAGACTGGTCATGGCTCACATCAACAGCATAATCCCAGAAACCCTAGACCCACTCCAATTTGCATACCGCCCCAACAGATCCACAGATGATGCAATCTCTATCGCACTCCACACTGCCCTTTCCCACCTGGACAAGAGGAACACCTACGTGAGAATGCTATTCATTGACTACAGCTCAGCATTCAACACCATAGTGCCCTCTAAGCTCATCACTAAGCTAAGGATCCTGGGACTAAACACCTCCCTCTGCAACTGGATCCTGGACTTCCTGACGGGCCGCCCCCAGGTGGTAAGGGTAGGTAACAACACATCTGCCACACTGATCCTCAACACGGGGGCCCCTCAGGGGTGCGTGCTCAGTCCCCTCCTGTACTCTCTGTTCACCCATGACTGCATGGCCAGGCACGACTCCAACACCATCATTAAGTTTGCCGACGACACAACAGTGGTAGGCCTGATCACCGACAACGATGAGAAAGCCTATAGGGAGGAGGTCAGAGATCTGGCCGTGTGGTGCCAGGACAACAACCTCTCCCTCAACGTGACCAAGACAAAGGAGATGATTGTGGACTACAGGAAAAAAAAGAGGACTGAGCACGCCCCCATTCTCATCGACGGGGCTGTAGTGGAACAGGTTGAGAGCTTCAAGTTCCTTGGTGTCCACATCACCAACGAACTATCATGGTCCAAACACACCAAGACAGTCGTGAAGAGGGCACGACAAAGCCTATTCCCCCTCAGGAGACTAAAAAGATTTGGCATGGGTCCTCAGATCCTCAAAAAATTCTACAGCTGCACCATCGAGAGCATCCTGACTGGTTGCATCACCGCCTGGTATGGCAACTGCTTGGCCTCTGACCGCAAGGCACTACAGAGGGTAGTGCGTACGGCCCAGTACATCACTGGGGCAAAGCTCCCTGCCATTCAGGACCTCTATACCAGGCGGTGTCAGAGGAAGGCCCTCAAAATTGTCAAAGACTCCAGCCACCCTAGTCATAGACTGTTCTCTCTGCTACCGCACGGCAAGCGGTACCGGAGTGCCAAGTCTAGGTCCAAAAGACTTCTCAACAGCTTCTATCCCCAAGCCATAAGACTCCTGAACAGCTAATCATGGCTACCTGGACTATTTGCACTGCCCCCCCACCCCATCCTTTTTACGCTGCTGCTACTCTGTTAAGTATTTATGCATAGTCACTTTAACTCTACCCACATGTACATATTACCTCAACTACCTCAACTAGCCGGTGCCCCCGCACATTGACTCTGCAACGGTACCCCCCTGTATATATAGCCTCCCTACTGTCACTTTATTTTACTGTATATATAGCCTCCCTACTGTCACTTTATTTTACTTCTGCTCTTTTTTTCTCAACACTTTTTTTGTTTAAAATAAATGCACTGTTGGTTAAGGGCTGTAAGTAAGCATTTCACTGTAATGTCTGCACCTGTTGTATTCGGCGCATGTGACCAATAAAATTTGATTTGATTTGATTTGATAATGCTCTTGTGGCTGAATGGAAGCAAGTCCCCGCAGCAATGTTCCAACATCTAGTGGAAAGCCTTCCCAGAAGAGTGGAGGCTGTTATAGCAGCAAAGGGGGGACCAACTCCATATTAATGCCCATGATTTTGGAATAAGATGTTCGACGAGCAGGTGTCCACATACTTTTGGTCATCCATTGTATTTTGAAGCGAGCTGATCTGTGAAAACACTGTAATTCTCTCAATAAAACATGCCAACATTCTGGGCAGGTGCTTTGGGCTACATTCAACATTAATGAGTAGAGGCTTTACTGAGAATAAATCTGCTCACTCCTCCTATCTCCACTCTAACCCACCACACAGCCAAATATATTTTAATTATTCACTAACCTGTGGAAATGCTCAATGAGCCACCTCTCGATGGTTAATCTGCCCCAATCACCATAGCACCTTGTGTATAAGCCAGGTGATTAAAATAAAGGCAAATCCTCATGTTTCAATAAATATTTGATGAGCTGGGCTATGAATATTCCCATCAGAGGGCCTGATGCTGGCTTCAATTTAAGGGGTATTTAGATGGTGTAAAGAAACCGGGCTCGCATAACAGGCTGGATGACACAGTCCTGGGCGTTGGGAGAGATAGAGAGATGGGAAATTGGGGGATGATTGATGGGTATAGCTATGGGGCACTTGTAATAACGTTGCAGCGAAAAGCGCTGACTCGAAAGCCCCATATGCTGGGTACACACAAAAAAGAAATATGTTATTGTGGCATAAAATCCAAAGGGGCGGGGGTACCGCTCACTCTCACCCCATCCTCTGTCTGTGATGTGTCTGTCTGTTGTGCCTTGCCATACAGAGTGAGTCGCGAAAGAAACTTCACCTGTTCCAATGAATCTTTTTGCCAGCCCCCAATACAGAGCAGACATTTAGTCATTCACAGTGAAGCACCATGCTAGATCACAGCATTCCACAGAAAAAGAGATGACGCACGGCATCGGAAGAGGAATGGTCTTGTTACACATCCCACTGCATGGTAGTAGTCCACATAATCACTTGAATAATGCGTCCTGTGTGTGTGGGAAGAGCTTAATGATTCCATCGCTGGAAGTCTCTCTCTCAATCTGTCTGGTGTGTTTAGGTGGTCTACTCTGCTCAGAATGTGTTGAGAACTCCAGACTCCCACAGTTTAGCTCTTCATTAACAGCATGTAGCTCAATTGGTAGAGCATGGCGCTTGTAACGCCAGGGTAGTGGGTTCGATCCCCGGGACCACCCATACGTAAAAATGAATGTGCACATGTCTGTAAGTCGCTTTGGATAAAAGCGTCTGCTAAATGGCATATTATTATTTTTATTATTATTATGTTGGGATGGCCTAGTAGTCCCATCATCCCAGCAAACAGTGAACGTTCCAACAACGTTAGGCAACGTTCCAATGGGGGCCCTATTTGGTTTCCAGCTAATGACAACATCCCATGACTGTTTTTCAAATGAAAACGTAATTTAATGAACATTAGAAGAAGGACATGCCACATCTGTTTCTAGAATGTATTAACCGAATGTTAATGGAGAAAACATTATAGCCATGTCATGGACACCTCCATGGGAACCTCAAAAGTTCTGGGAAAACATTGCATATTAACGTTCTCAAAATGTCTCTACTAATGTTCTGGGTATACATACTGTAGGTAACTAGAAATTGTTTGCTGGGATGGCGCATGGCAACAATGGAAGAGCTGGCTACTCCTAATCACTTATGTATTTGGGAGGCGACGTGAGGGATAAAAGACATTAAAGGGGATCTGAGAATGATGGTGAATATTTAAATCATGATGGAATGTCTCTTTGTTGATTTTATTACATAAGGAGTTCCAGATGAATCACTTAAGGAATATGTTTCATTTAGCTTGGGGGGGAAAACACTGCATTCATTTTAATCAATCAAGAAATTGAAAATCACATCTGATATTTTTTTGTTCTGTCATCCTTTTATTATGCCTCTAAACTTCATATTTCTCCTTGGCACAGATCGTATCTCGGCACTCAGAATGATCATCAAAAGTTAATTTAATATGACCCTAATGGACCAGTATGAGACATTAGATAGTCTGTGGCTTGTGTTTCTGTGGTGTGTGCATGGTGTGTTGGAGGACTGCGGTCATACTTCACAAACAAAGCCACGCAGTGCAAAGACACAATAACCTAATCATGTCATTGGACTATTCCCCGAAAGACTCTCGGAGCAGCCAAGACTGGCAGAGTAGAATAGCATGCCAATCTGCTGGCTTGGAAAATGAGAGGCCTTTCCAGTACCAACAAACATGCCGTCTCCTTGTCAATCTGGCAGGGAATATTAGACGGCACAAGGCGCCGTGGAGAGGACTTGATAACGTACTGTACTCCCCCAGAGCTGTCAATGAACTGAGACGGTGAACTTAGCCATTCTCCGTGAGCCGCTGCACTGACCTAGATGACTGCTAATACTACTACGACTGCTACTACTATGACTGCTGCACTACAACTACTACTACTACTACTACGCCTAATACTAAAAACACTACTGCTACTACGACCACTGCTACCGTAACGGAGGTCAGTGTGCTGCTAACAGCTTAGCTTCCTCCACTGTCCGACTGCCCCATTCTGGGGCAGAATCAGTGATCCTCTGCTTTGCAACACACGTGAAGCCCTCCTTGACAACATACCAACTGTTTGAGCCACCCAAAAGGTACAGATTGCATGGCTCCATCCGCGTCATTTCAAGCTAGCTGTGGAGTTTATGGCCCGTTCTTAACTCCATTACATTATAACGACTACTGCTACAATGACGACAGTGACACCTACTACAACTACGATGACTATGATGATGTCTACGACGATGACTACTACTACTACTACTACTACTACTACTACTACTACAACAACTACTACTACTACTACTACTACTACTTACAATAGTAAACATATCAACAGTTCCACAAGTACAATATGCCACATTTCATAGAATTAAATAGCAGCTGAAAGTGCTTCACAGATTGAAATAAAAAAAACATTTGTAATGTTTTGCCCTTAGAGCCATGCAGGAAAACACCCCAACGTCACTCATAACGTACACTCCTGTTATAACACCCATTAGAGGAACAGTCCTACACGAGAATGATGGGAGGAAATAAATAGGCCTACTAGTTACTTATTAGTCATCCAAAGGCCCATATAGGGATGAAGGAGGGGAACAGCATCTTTCAGAGCTCCTGTTGTCTTTTCACCATATTGGCAGTACAAATTGCTCTTCCCTACAGTATTCCGCTCAACTGAAATTACCCAGCTCCATCACAAGGCTCCATACAGGGCTGTTAAAGAGCACAAAAGACAGATGGGATACAGTGTCTCCGTAAACCACTTTCCAATGGCACAGCACCATTCAAGTACAAAGCCATTTCCACTGACGTCAGTCATCTGTGCAAGATTGCTGCACCTCCTCCTTGTGTGTCATGACCCCTGCTTTTTCTCTGGCTGACCAACACCAGCTTTCAAAGCATCACTCCACAACAACAAAGGCTTTTTCTTCCAACCATATATTTTCTCAAATAGATCACACTGCAAAGGATACTTTACAATGCTCTATACAGTTTTGATCAATACAAGTAAGTATAATGTACGTCTGATCAGTTATGACCACATAGGAATGCCCATGTTAGATTACACGGTGTCCCAAACACCAGACATACAATAGAGAATAAAGAATATGTACCCATAACTGGATAGAATATTCCATGCCTAAAAGCTACAGTACATAATTGCAATAGCTGTGTTTATACTGTACATGAGAAAGACAATCTAGTATTGTTTGAAGATGCAAATAGCAGATTATTCTCTGTCACTCTGATCTGCCTGTGGCCTACCTGTGCCTCTCCAAATCCATTTAAGTGTACAATATGACTCCTCTGGTGCAGGTCTCAATCTAGTCAAGAATCATCTTTGCCCTGCTGATAAGCATTAAACCATTAACTGAATGTGTTTTTGATTATGGAGCCATACTGTCAAAGCAGTGCTAACAAGCCAAACACAACAACGCCGACCTGTGAAGCACTGCTCTACTTACCTTTGCCAATAAAGCCCTTGTTATCCTTCTTTTATTACTGATAAACTACTTAGTGCGCTCCAGTAAGCCGTAAGGGGTTCCGTTTTTTTATTTGGACACAGAGGGTAAATGGCTGAGGTGGCTGTCACAAGCCGATTGAGGTAGACTTAGATATTCAGCTTTTGATTGGCTGTTGGGTGCTAGTGTAATCAACAGAGGGATCTCGGTCAAGTCTGAATTGTGTTGACAGAATCACAGATGTTCAAGAGCTTTGAACTTCAACTCAAATGATGTGCCAACATCTATTTGGAGCATGTATCGGGCTTAGGTGGCAAAAGCTTTAGATGAAACAGGGAATGAGCGGAGGAGTGACATTGAATGAGCGAGAGTGAAACGGGCTAAAACAGGGCACGACTACCTGGAATATTCCAATAAGAAATGCTCATTTTCATTTTAAAACATTTTAAAATATTTTCCATTGCATGCCCTAATAAACACAACCATTTTCTGTCTTCCATTGTACCAACAATGGTACTGATATACTTACAGCGCTTCGGAAATTATTCAGACCTATTTACTTTTTCCACATTTTGTTATATTACAGCCTTATTCTAAAATTGATTAAATAAAACATTTTCCTCATAAATCTACACAGAATACCCCATAATGACAAAGTGAAAACAGGGTTTTAGAAATACCTTATTTACATAAGTATTCAGACCCTTTGCTATGAGACTCGAAATTGAGCTCAGGTGCATCCTGTTTCCATTGATCATCCTTGAACTGTTTCTACAACTTGATTGGAGTCAACCTGTGGTAAATTCAATTGGTTGGAAATGATTTGGAAAGGCACACACCTGTCTTGATATGGTCCCACAGTTGACAGTGCAAGTCAGAGCAAAAACCAAGCCATGAGGTCGAAGGAATTGTACATAGAGCTCCGAGACAGGATTGTGTCGAGGCACAAATCTGGGCAGGGTACCAAAAGATGTCTGCAGCATTGAAGGTCACCAAGAACACAGTGGCCTCCATTATTCTTAAATGGAAGAAGTTTGGAACCACCAAGACTCTTCCTAGAGCTGGCCGCCCGGCCAAACAGCAATCAGGGGAGAAGGGCCTTGGTCAGGGAGGTGACCAACAACCCGATGGTCACTCCGACAGAGCTCCAGAGTTCCTCTGTGGAGATGGGAGAACCTTCCAGAAGGACAACCATCTCTGCAGCACTCCACCAATCAGACCTTTATGGTAGAGTGGTAGAGAAAGAAGACACTTCTCAGTAAAAAGCACATGACAGCCCGCTTGGAGATTGCCAAAAGGCACCTAAAGGACTCAGACCATGAGAAACAAGATTCTCTGGTCTGATGAAACCAAGATTGAACTCTTTGGCCTGAATGCCAAGCGTCACATCTGGAGGAAACCTGGCACCATCCCTACAGTGAAGCATGGTGGTGGCAGCATCATGCTGTGAGGATGTTTTGTTGAAGCACCTTTGGCAGTGATTACAGCCTGGAGTAATTCAGAACATGCTACTAGAGATAATACACTTTGAAGTGCACTAGCAGTCTGTGCACCAGGGTGGAGAATTCACTCTCATCTGGATCACACTCGAATTTTCTTTGTCTTATAGATACTGTGTGTGTACGTGGATCCACTGCCCCTCCACTTCCCCCATAGCCCCCCTACTCCTATCCTCATCTCAGTAACACGAGTTCAATCTCCTGCTAAGATCATATTTAACCAATTCAGACAGGAACTGTGGAACATCTCAAATATTGTGGATGAAAATTACATTGGATTTCCAATTCCAGGCGTGCCGAATGATCAAACCAATTAAGAATTAATATGATCTACAGTGAGCTCCAAAAGTATTGGGACAGTGACAATGTTTTTGTTGTTTGGGCTCTGTACTCAAGCACTTGGGATTTTAAAGGATACAATGACTATGGGGTTAAAGTGCAAACTATCAGCTTTAATTTGAGGGTATTTTCATCCAACGGTGAACCGTTTAGAAACTACAGCACTTTTTATACATAGTCCCCACATTTTAGGAGACCAAAAGTATTGGGACAAATTCACTTATATGTGTATTAAAGTAGTAAAAAGTGTAGTATTTGGTCCCATATTCCTAGCACGCAATGATTACATCAAGCTTGTGACTACAAACTTTTTGGATGCATTTACTGATGGTTTTGGTTGTGTTTTAGATTTTTTTGCCCAATAGAAATGGATGATAAATAATGTATTGTGCCATTTTGGAGTAAATAATAATTTATTGTAAATAAGAATAGAATATGTTTCTAAACATTTCTACATTAATGTGGATGCTACCATGATTAGGGATAGTCCTTAATGAATCGTGAATAATGGTGAGTGAGTTAAGTTACAGATGCACAAATATCATACCTCCAAGACATGCTAACCTCCCCCATTAAAATAACAGGAGAGGTGAAATTTTTTTGGGGGGTATGATATTTATGCCTCTATAACTTTCTCACTCATCATTATTCACAATTCCTTCAGGATAATCCGTAATCATGGTACCATGATTTTGTTTGGAACAAAAAAGTTGATATCTCGTCTGTGCACAGCATTCACTGTGCAGGGGCAATATCGCATGTCAATAGTGAAACATTGTTTCCAAGGTCAGACAGGCAGACAGCAAGGTTTATACATCCACCTCTGGCCTGCTGGCTCCCCTTCCTCTGCGGAAGCATAGTTCCCGCTCAGCCCAGTCAAAACTGTTCGCTGCTCTGGCACCCCAATGGTGGAACAAGCTCCCTCACGACGCCAGGACAGCGGAGTCACTCACCACCTTCCGGAGACATTTGAAACCCCACCTCTTTAAGGAATACCTGGGATAGGATAAAGTAATCCTTCTACCCCCCCCCCCCCCCCCCCCCCCCCAAAAAAAAAATTGTAAAGTGGTTATCCCACTGCCTATAGGGTGAATGCACCAATTTGTGAGTCGCTCTGTTTAAGAGCGTCTGCTAAATGACGTAAATGTGCCCTTGAGCAAGGCACTTAACCCTAATTGCTCCTGTAAGTCGCTCTGGATAAGAGCGTCTGCTAAATGACTAAAATGTAAAATGTAATACAAACCCTCACTGTTGGAAATAAAATGCTAGGCTAGAAGCAAGGGGAAGTAATGTGTTAATAAACGGCTTATTGCTTAACATTGGTCGCGTGGCAGAGATAGAATATTGGTCGCATGTGTGTTTGTCCTTAAACCCAGGGCTTTGGAATACAATTGTGAATCCTAGCCCAGGGCTAAAGCTTAGCCCAGGGTTAACAAATGCTTGTGTGAATACAGGATAAGATAGCCCAGTGGCCAGTTTTAGCCTGGGGCTAATTGATAGCCCGGGTCTAAGAACAATGCAGTGTGAAAAGGGCTATTGTATAATTTCAAATCCAAAGTGCTGGAGTACAGAGCCAAAACAACACTGTCCCAATACTTTTGGAGCTCACTGTATATCAGGGATGGGCAACTTTGATTGGGGAACTCATCATGAGGGGGCTGCAAGGGCTTGTGAAAATGACATGTCAATCATTATAGGGTCAAATTGAAACTGGATTGGTATATTCTTTTCCCATGCTCTGTCGTTCCAGAGACAGTAAGGACCTGTGTGCTGGTGCAATCCCCCCAGTTGATTACAGACAGAGAATGATTCCTGGATGACTGGTTCCCAGTCCATCTCCCTGAGAGGCTGGTTAACTGGTTTAATTTACGTTCTCTTTCAAAACAAAAATAAATATCAAACATATCAAAAGCACTAGCACTACTACAACTCTGCCGTTTACAACTACAACTGGGCCTTGGCCTATATCAAATTGAATAAAAGCAGAGGGCATACTATCATTATTGTCTACCACTACAGTACTACAACCACCACCACGGATGATGGTTATAGTTTGATAATAATAAAGCCCATTCTGTGTAAGATATTTCAGGATGCTGGGCCTCCGAGGTCTTGACCTTTGACCTCTCTCCTCCAGTGCATGAAGAGACCTGATTGAGACACTCCCTCATAGGCACATCAGCGTACTAGCATGTCATAATCCACCAGTCTACTGAGTGCTGGCCGCCAGTGGGGAGAGGCAACCCCCACACATTGAAGCTGACCCAAGAGTGAAATGGGCGAAGAGTGAATGTCAAGGTTGTCAAAACACACTAATTACGTTCCCACTGTAAATAGGGTGGATCTGGGATTGTTAACCTCTCTACTGCCTCTAGGGTTCGAGCAACCTTCAAAGACAAGCTGCTACAGTATCCTGACATCACAGTGGGAGTGGAAAAATGTGAGGAGTCCAGATTAACCCCCTAGAGTTGATTGACGCACCAGTGTGTCAACCTAAGTAACATAATAAAAAATCCCCATCAAAATCCATCAGTTTAAGCTAGAAATATCTGGGTTTTTTTTGCATTGGATGCGTCTCAATCCACTGCATCCGCTGACGTCGCACTTCCGCATCTGCAGTGAAAGGTGGCAGAGCTAGAGCGGTGTTCGTCAGACCATGAGACATCCGGAAAATCGGTCTTCTCACGAAAACGTCAGTAGCGTCCGAATGTCTTTTTGGCCGTTTATGAATGTCTTATTCAATGCTAAATGCTAAATGACCCATAGTATGGCCATCTTAAAACAATTCCATATGTCAGCTTAGAACATGTGTATTTATCAAACATCTGTTATCGAACTAATTTCAATTTAAAACAGAGTGATCTGAGTGAAATCTGCCAACTCACTCTGGCTAGTCTTGTGCACTTTGTCAACGCCAGGGATGCCTCAGGGAAAAGACCTTCATCCATTAGGGTCATATGATATTATCTGGCTTTCACACGCAACTAGCTCTCACAGTCTCTCGTCAGAATTAGACGTTCATCCATGTATCTCAAACATCAAATTTAAAAGTTGCTGCAAACGTCAAATTTCGAAGTGTTTAAGGTTAAGTTTAAGTATTAACTCCAAATGTTTAAGGTCAGGGTTAGGTTTAGGCCTTATCTCAGAAATCTTAAGGTTAGGCATTAACTCTGAATGGTTAAGGTAAGGGTTAAGGTTTGGGATAGGCTTAAAATGAAAATCTCTCAAATAACTTTATATTGCTGGATTTGAACTTGATACCTTTGGAATCAGAGGCAGATGCTTATGCCCATCTGCCATTCCCATCCACAACACCCTAGCAAAACCGAAACCTACTTGAAGGTAACAGCGCTCACTGTTGCCCCTTGTGGCCAGTTTCCACGTCATCTCCCGACGTCCTCAGACATGGATGGACGTCGAATACTGACTTGTATCACGGGTGACCTGGCTGTTCACATGAGGCTATCAGGCCAATAATACGGAAAAACTAATTATACAGAGAGAAAGAGAGCAGAGAGAGAGAGAAAGAGAGCGGAGAGAGAGTGAGGGAGAGAGAGAGACGCTGCATGTCTGAGTGTGAAGCAGCAGCCCTCCTGTATCTCAGGAAAGCAGAGCTCCCAGCTCTTCCGCTGTGCAGAGAGAAACAAGAGGAGTCTGCAACCTCATCAGAAAACTGCTGGAGGCCAGCAATGATGAATAAGGTCGCTGTGACTATTAATTCCCTTTAAAAGCTCCATTCTTCACCTTCCATCGCCCACTGCTTAGATGTGGTCAAGTAGAAAATGTCTGAATTATCGGAAACTAATGCTCTCATCTGTGGGAAGCAGCTTGGTCTGTAGTCACTGGGTACTATTTGTCTCATTTAAGATTTTGGTAAAGTCCATGAATGAATCATTACACTTTGGTCTGGGAATGTGTCTCCTGGTACTCCTCTGTTAAACCAACCTCAGCCAGTCTCCTGACACCAAGCTAGGGGGAGATGACTCTAGAGCCCTGGAGACCTCAACAAGTCACAGAGGAAATGTTGCCCTGTCACTATCTCAGCTATTGCCACCCCGCATGGTGGAAGTTATGAATATCACACTCTTTTCCGTTTAAAAGGCCATTGCACTACAGCTTCTCTCAGCACAAGCCATCTGGGGGTTTCTGCAGACCTTGAGTGTGACTGCAGCCGAGGAAATAAATTGAACATATTCAAAATGCACCAACGGGATAGGGCTTCCACTTTACTGATACAGTATATGGGCGGCCATTTTAAAGGCAAATGATGTCCCGCTGGTGAGCATCGACAAATAAAGCTAATATGGTGGACTAAAGATGGCGATGCAGAATGCCTCATGAGAAATAGCAATATTCAATATCTCTAAAACTGACTAAATAGTAGCACTACACTGATCTATTTACTCATGGGCAATAACATTCAAGCTGGATAATAACCCCCAAAAAACGTATAAGGCTAGAGAAGTTTATTGATAAATATTATGAAAGCAGTCAAGGCCAAAACATGTCGGAGAGGAACCAGGGAAGAAATTGAGAACAGAAAAACTCCAAGAGAGAATTACGAGATTCCTCGACAGAAACTGATGATTTATGGTTTTCACCACCTGGTACGGTAAGAGTGGAAACCGACCTGCTAAAATCAATAAATGATCAATTGGGCGTACTTGAACTTGTCAGTAAATAAATAAAGGAGATAAAGGTGAGCTCGAAATGAGTGACGAAAAAGCTGCGACAAAACAAGCTAAAAGGTACAGTCAATAAGATTGAAACAGACGTTAAAGAACTTAAAAAGGAGAACATGTTTCTGAGAGAAGCCTTACCTGGAATACAGACTAGATCCATTCGAGAAAATCAGGTACTTACTGGTATTAAAGAAAATGAGGGTGAAGATCCTGAAAGTGTGGTGAAAGAATTCCTTCTTAAAGCACTACAAATCCCAGGCGATACTGTCGACAAAATCTAACTCGAATGTGTACACCGTTTCGGACAGAGAGGACAGAGAGGACCCTAATGGATGAGCGCCCAATCGTTGCCAAATTTGCATTCTTTAAAGATAAAATAATGGTTAAAAGCCTGTGCAAAACACTGGCTGGCACGAAAATAGGAATGAATGATCAGTTCCCAAAGGAAAATGCAGAACGGCACAACGTTCTGTACCCACTCTTCAGAAAGAATAGACTAAAAGGGAAACGTGTAGCTCTCGTAGTCGATAAAATGTACATTGATAATCAACTGTTCTGAGATACCAAGACTACTCCATGGCTATTCTAAATAATACAATGTTCCCATAGAGGAGTCGAATAATTGTCACACCCTGGCTCTGGGAACTCTATATGTTGAGCCAGGGTGTGTAAATTCTATGTGTTTATGTTCTGTGTGGGAGTTCTAGTTGTGGTATTTCTATGTTGGCCAGAGTGGCTCCCAATCAGAGGCAACGAGTGTCAGCTGTTGCTGGTTGTCTCTGATTGGGAGCCATATTTAAACAGTCTGTTTCCCTTAGTGTTTCGTGGGATCTTGTTTCCGTTTGGTTAGTTTCTGTGTTAACCGTAGGACTGCACGTTTCGTTTATTGTTTTGTTGTTATATTATCACTAACGATAATAAAGTTAAGTATGTTCGCAACTAACGCTGCGCATTGGTCTACTCCGTATAACGATCGTGACAATAATGGAACACCCAATACTATCCATGGTAGGGATTGTAATAAAAAACAACAACAGAAAACAATAAAACACAATAATTGTTAAAGAAATAAACTACAAATACACTACACCATTCAAGATAGGGAATGTGTAAAATAATTAGTATTCAATTTTCTATTCATAGTATTTATAAATAGATTTTAATATTCAAACCCTTTGACATTTTCAACATTTTGTTACGTTACAGACTTATTTTGGAATATATAAAACATCTCATCAATCTACACACAATACCCCATAATCACAAAGCGAAAACAGGTTTTTTGAAATGTTAGCAAATGTATATACAAAAATAATTTAAAAAATACCTTATTTTACATAAGTATTCATACTCTTCACTATGTCCACCTGTGGTAAATTCAATTGATTGGACATTATTTGGAGAGGCACACACCTGTCCATATAAGGTCCCACAGTTGACAGTGCATGTCAGAGCAAAAACCAAGCCATGAGGTCGAACGAATTGTCCGTAGAGCTCCGAGACAGGATTGTGTCGAGGCACAGATCTGGGGAAGGGTAGCAAAATATTTATGCAGCATTGACAGTCCCCAAGAACACAGTGGACTCAATCATTCTTCAATGGAAGAAGTTTGGAACCACCAAGACTCTTCCTAGAGTTGGCCGCCTGGCCAAACTGAGCAATTGGGGGAGAAGGGCCTTGGTCAGGGAGGTGACAGAGCTTCAGAGTTCCTCTGTGGAGATGGGAGAACCTTCCAGAAGGACAACCAGCACTCCACCAATCAGGCCTTTATGGTAGAGTGGCCAGACGGAAGCCACTGCTCAGTAAAAGGCATGACAGCCCGCTTGGAGTTTGCCAAAAGGCACCTAAAGGACTCTCAGACCATGAGAAACAAGATTCTCCGGTCTGATGAAACCAAGATTGATTGGTCTGGAGGAAACATGGCATCATCCCTAAGGTGAAGCATGGTGATGGCAGCATCATGCTGTAGGGATGTTTTTCAGTGGCAGGTAGACTAGTCAGGATCGAGGGAAAGATGAATGGAGCAAAGTACAGAGAGATCCTTGATGAAAACCTGCTCCAGAGCGCTCAGGACCTCATGCTGGGGCGACAGTTCACCTTCCAACAGGACAACGACCCTACGCACATATCAAAGACAATGCAGGAGTGGCTTTGGGACAAGTCTCTGAATGTCCTTGAATGGCCCAGCCAGAGCTTGAACTTGAACCCGGTCAAACATCTCTGGAGAGACCTGAAAATAGCTGTGCAGCGACACTCCACATCCAACCTGACAGAGCTTGAGAGGATCTACAGAGAAGAATGGGAGAACCTTCCCAAATACAGGTGTGCCAAGCTTGTAGCGTCATACCGAAGAGGACTCAAGGCTGTAATCGCTGCCAAAGGTGCTTCAACAAAGTACTGAGTAAAGGGTCTGAGTACTTATGTAAATGTGATATTGAGTTGGGCTCTGGGATGGAACAACTCTTGAACATCTGAGCTTGTGGTTGTTTGTGGGGGAAGGGTAGATAGTATGAGTGTGTGTGTGTGTGTGTGTGTGTGTGTGTGTGTGTGTGTGTGTGTGTGTGTGTGTGTGTGTGTGTGTGTGTGTGTGTGTGTGTGTGTACGTATCCCACATCTGTTGCTATGGGGTAATGATGTTAGGGACAATACAGGATGAATCACAATAATTGTTTGCAAAAATAATAATTGTTGGCCAAAAATGTACAGAATACGGTAGAGGAATAACAAAAAGAAATGAAGGAACTTATTCAATAAAGATCAAGTGTAATATATTATAAAAAATAAAGCGAACTGGATGGAATATGGGGAAAAATACACAAAATTATTTTTTTATCTTCAACATAGAAATGCTACCAAAAAGTATTTACTGAAACTTGTTCCAAATGAGGAAGCAAAGTACTTTAAGCATATGTTTTCGTTTGAGTCTCCTCAATCTCCACTAACCAAAGTTAATTGTAAGGATTTTTTTCTAATAATAATGTAAAATTAACAGCTGTACAGAAAGACTCATATGAAGGCCAAATTACAGAGGAGGAACTTCTTGATGCAATTATAGCTGTTAAGTCCAGGAAAATACCAGGGCTGGATGGCATACCAGTTGAGGTATACCAAACCTTTTTTTATGTACTCAGAGGACCGTTATTAGCATGTTTTAACCACGCCTATAAAAATGGTAGATTATCAGATACTCAACAAGATGGTCTGATTTCATTATTACTAAAACAGGAGCCAAGTGGTATATATAAAGATCCAGTCCATTAAAACAATTTGAGGCCCCTTACACTTCAGTGTTGTGATGCAAAAATTGTAGCAAAATGCATAGTGTGCATAGAATAAAAAAGGTATTGTCTGATATTATTCATTCTAATCAGACAGGTTTGTTACATGGACAATACATTGGAGATAATATAAGACAAGTACTGGAAACAATAGAACACTATGACAAATCTGGGAAACCAGGCCTGGTATTCATAGCTGACTTTGAAAAGGCTTTTAATAAAGTACGACTGGATTTTATATACAGTGGGGAAAAAAAGTATTTAGTCAGCCACCAATTGTGCAAGTTCTCCCACTTAAAAAGATGAGAGAGGCCTGTAATTTTCATAATAGGTACACGTCAACTATGACAGACAAATTGAGAAAAAAAAAAACTGAAAATCACATTGTAGGACTTTTAATGAATTTATTTGCAAATGATGGTGGAAAATAAGTATTTGGTCACCTACAAACAAGCAAGATTTCTGGCTCTCACAGACCTCTAACTTCTTCTTAAAGAGGCTCCTCTGTCCTCCACTCGTTACCTGTATTAATGGCACCTGTTTGAACTTGTTATCAGTATAAAATACACCTGTCCACAACCTCAAACAGTCACACTCCAAACTCCACTATGGCCAAGACCAAAGAGCTGTCAAAGGACACCAGAAACAAAATTGTAGACCTGCACCAGGCTGTGAAGACTGAATCTGCAATAGGTAAGCAGCTTGGTTTGAAGAAATCAACTGTGGGAGCAATTATTAGGAAATGGAAGACATACAAGACCACTGATAATCTCCCTCGATCTGGGGCTCCACGCAAGATCTCACGCCGTGGGGTCAAAATGATCACAAGAACGGTGAGCAAAAATCCCAGAACCACACGGGGGGACCTAGTGAATGACCTGCAGAGAGCTGGGACCAAAGTAACAAAGCCTACCATCAGTAACACACTACGCCGCCAGATACTCAAATCCTGCAGTGCCAGACGTGTCCCCCTGCTTAAGCCAGTACATGTCCAGGCCCGTCTGAAGTTTGCTAGAGTGCATTTGGATGATCCAGAAGAGGATTGGGAGAATGTCATATAGTAAATAATGGTTACTTCTCAGAAAGTATTTGACTGTCAGGAGGAGTAAAACAAGTTGTCCACTATCGGCATATCTATTTATTATGACCATCGAAATGTTAGCTATTAAAATCTGATCCAACAATTATATCAAGGTGCTAGAATTCCAGGGCTTAAAAACAAAGGTGTCATTGTACGCTGATGATTCATGTTTTCTTTTAAATTCACAATTTGGATCCCTCCACAGCCTCATAGAGGATCTAGATAATTTTTCTAACCTCTCTGGATTACAACCAAATTATGATAAGTGTACTATATTACATTTTGGATCACAAAAAAATACAACTTTTACATTACTGTGTAGTTTACCAATAATAATGGTCTGACGGTGAAGTGGACATACTTGGTATTCATATCCTGAAATAAAGAAATTATCTCACCACAATACATGTTAATATAAAGTTATCAAAAATAGATAAGATCTTGCTTTGTGGAAAAATCACCCTGATTAACTCTTTATTCATTTCCCAGTTTACGTATTTGCTTACGGCCTTGCCTACACCTAGCGACTTGTTTTTTAAATTATAAGAGCAAAACATTTTCCATTTGATTTGGAACGGCAAGCCAGACAAAATTAAACGGGCCTATTTATATAATGAATATGAATTCGGAGGGCAGAAATGACTAAATATTAAAGCATTAGACCTCTCACTAAAGGCTTCAGTCATACAGTCATAAAAAAGTTATACTTAAATCCGAACTGGTTCTCTAGCAGATTAGTAAGAATGTCTCACCCTATGTTCAAGAATGGCCTTTTTGGCCTCAGATCAATAACCAGACCCCCTCTCACCCACAGAAGAGGGGAGGGGGGACCGGGCTGGATATAACACCTTAACACTCGGTGGTAAATTAGGCAGGAGGGGATATCTCTTGCTCTCCAGTATTGATTGGAATGCCCCTTTGTCTCCAGAAGACCTATGCTGCCTAAACTCTTACGTCCAAAAAGTGAATACTTTAACAATATTTCTAAGATAAGAATGTGGAGAATGGTCAGTGGGGATCTAAAGAATAATCATGTCATATTGTTTATTATTTTGTGATGTCATTAAGAATGGTATCAAGAAAATACTGTAACTTGGAAAGTATACAGTTGAAGTCGGAAGTTTACATACACTTAGGCTGGAGTCATTAAAACTCGTTTTTCAACCACTCCACAAATTTCTTGTTAACAAACTATAGTTTTGGCAAGTCGGTTAGGACATCTACTTTGTGCATGACACGTAATTTCTCCAACAATTGTTTACAGACAGATTATTTAACTTATAATTCACTGTATCACAATTCCAGTGGGTCAGAAGTTTACATACACTAAATTGACTGTGCCTTTAAACTGTTTGGGAAATTCCAGAAAATGATGTAATGGCTTTAGAAGCTTCTGATAGGCTAATTGACATCAGTTGAGTCAATTGGAGGTGTACCTGTGGATGTATTTCAAGGCCTACCTTCCAACTCAGTGCCTCTTTGCTTGACATAATGGGAAAATCAAAAGAAATCAGCCAAGACCTCAGAAAAATATTTGTAGACCTCCACATGTCTGGTTCATCCTTGGGAGCAATTTCCAAACGCCTGAAGGTACCACGTTCATCTGTACAAACAATTAGAATAAGGACCACACATCCTCATACGAGGACTCTTCCTGAGATGAACGTACTTGGTGCGAAAAGTGAATTGAAGAACAACAGCCAGGCTTGTGTGCTGGAGGAAACCGTACAAAAGTATCTATATCCACCGTAAAACGAGTCCTATATCGACATAACCTGAAAGGCCGCTCAGCAAGGAAGAAGCCACTGCTCCAAAACTGCCATAAAAAAGCCAGACTGCACATGGGGACAAAGATCGTACTTTTTGGAGAAATATCCTCTGGTCTGATGAATCAAAAATAGAACAGTTTGGCCATAATGAATATTGGTTATGTTTGGAGGAAAAAGGGGGTTGCTTGCAAGCCGAAGAACACCATCCGAACCGTGAAGTACGGGGGTGGCAGCATCATGCTGTGGGGTTGCTTTGCTGCAGGAGGGACTGGTGCACTTCACAAAATAGATGGCATCATGAGGAAGGAAAATTATGTGGATATATTGAAGCAACATCTCAAGACATCAGTCAGGAAGTTAAAGCTTGATCGCAAATGGGCCTTCTAAATGGACAATGACCCCAAGCATACTTCCAAAGTTGTGGCAAAATGGCTTAAGGACAACAAAATCAAGGTATTGGAGTGGCCATCACAAAGCCCTGACCTCAATCCTATAGAATATTTGTGGGCAGAACTGAAAACCTGACTCAGTTACACCAGCTCTGTCAGGAGGAATGGGCCAAAATTCACCCAACTTATTGTGGGAAGCATGTGGAAGGCTACCCGAAACGTTTGACCCAAGTTAAACAATTTAAAGGCAATGCTACCAAATACTAATTGAGTGTATGTAAACTTCTGACCCACTGAGAAAAGCTGAAATAAATCACTCTCTACTATTATTCTGACATTTCACATTCTTAAAATAAAGTGGTGATCCTAACTGACCTAAGACAGGGAATTTTTACTAGGATTAAATGTCAGGAATTGTGAAAAAATGAGTTTAATTATATTTGGCTAAGGTGTATGTAAACTTCCGACTTCAACTGTATCTCCTTTATCCGTAAAGTTTTCATCCAATACGTTGTGTATATAATATGGAAAATTATGAGAGTATTTTTGTTAAGATATGAATGTGATTTTAGTTTTCTAACGAGATCATCGTTTTTGGTGATGCTTTGCACCAGTAAGTAGACACGCCCCGAATGAGCTCAGAGATCGTGTCAGCATGACGGAACACCCTTTTCACCAGAGTGTATAAAGGATGAGTTAAGAATTAACATAGCAGACCAGAAAGACGTGGAGTGGTCGCTACACGTCTGAAAATGGTTGGAACATTGAACCTCAACACGAGGTGAAGAAGATCCTCCCAGACTAGACCTGAACATCGCCAGGCTGCAGCTGTGCCTGTAAAGTGATTCAAACTCTGACTATCCACACGAGGTGGAGAAGAAAGCTCCCCACTCAGAAAAATCACTGGGACAGCTAATTACCTGTTCTGGAGAGACTCCACTACAGACCAGGACAACTAAGAATAATGACATTGTGACCTCTTGCGGACAACCAAACACTTTTCAAGAAGGCTTGGTCCGACAGAGATAAACGGCGAACAAAGGCATTCAAACACGTAAATACATTCATGAGTTTTTTACTCCAAACGGGCAGTGGTTCGTGTGCAAAGTAAATGATTACTGTGAGCATAGTTTCCAAATGAACGATGTGTTGCGTCTCTTTCTTTCTCTCGCTCTCTACCCCTCCCTCTTTTGGTAACTAGGCAGTCATGTTGTTGTTAGTCCGCTAGGGACTTTTTCTCATGTATTAAGTGTGTATGTTATTCTGTGTTATAATTTAGTTAGCTAGTAAATAAATAGTTAAACCAATTTGCGTAGTGCTGAATCATAAGTAAAGCTGGGGTTCTTGCAGATCCAAGAAGTCTACGACCGTTCAGAATGACGACTGATAAGAGGTATTGATTAATACGTTGACTCTTTTATACATATAGATAGGTAAAGACCTTTAGAGTTTAATTCAGGAGAAGGTAACTCTATAAAAAACATATTCCGTGGTGTCCCAAATCCTGATGAGTTAATTTTTACATTATTAATTTAATCGAGTAACAATTAAACATAGTTAGTTGATTGAATAAATAACAGTCATCATATTAATGAAAGTCATGTCACGACATCTCTTTATTCAGTTTACAACCTCTCACTTTCAGTTATTTGAAAATGAAATAATCTCCAAAATATCGCTATTTTTAAAACAAGCTATAGAAAGTTGGTTCCAATTTCAGTTTAATCCACCAGAAAAAAAGAACAAATATTAGAACAAAAATTATGGTTAAACTCAAATATACTAGTTGATAAGAAAAACAGTATTTTTTATTTTATTTAAAATAATCTTTGTAAATTATATCATAAATAGGACTGGGGAGTTATGTCACACATGCAGCTAACAAAAATATATGGAAATGTCTGCTTTACTCAAAATGACAACCAACTAATTGCAGCATTACCGCAAAAATGGAAGAGGCAAGTGAAAGGGGGAGAAAGTAAGGAACTTGTCTGTCGGGCCTGCATTAACGACCAAAATTAGTTAAAGAAAACTGTGATAAACAAAAATGTAAGGACCCAAAAATGGACAGCTGTGCCATATTGATTGCAAAATAGTTGGGAAGAGATTTTCGATGTACCGATTCCATGGCACATGGTTTATGAACTGATCCACAAAAAGACGCTGAATTCAAAACTTTTTTCAATTAAAATTATTATACAAAATTCTTACAACCAATAGTATGTTATATATATGGGGGATACAACCATCCCAGCTCTGGAGATTTTGCTGCAAAGAGACAGACTCATTAGATCATTTGTTTTTGTACTGTCCATATACTGTCCTCTGTAGCTCAATTGGTAGAGCATGGCGCTTGTAACACCAGGGTAGTGGGTTCGATCCCCGGGACCATCCATACGTAAAAATGTATGCACACATGACTGTAAGTCGCTTTGGATAAAAGTGTCTGCTAAATGGCATATTATTATTGTTATTATGTAGCTTGTTTTTGGTGGTAGGTTCAGGAATTGCAACCTGGAGCTAAATCTGCAAATGGCACTGCTGGGTGATTTAAAAAGTCATAGTCAATCGATCAATAATATAATAATACTCTTAGAATTTTTTGTATCTTTAATTTACAATCTGTAGAAACTATGAGACTAGAAAGGTTCAGAACTTTTGTGAAACATCACAGCACAGTCGAGAAATATATGGCAAATAGAAATCAAACCTGGATGGCGTTCAGAGATAGATGGAAGGGGTTGAGTGGAGATGAAGGGTGGGATTAAAAATAACAAGATAACTAATGTAAAATATACTGTGTCCGTAAAATGTATATAGGTTCAGAACTTTTGTGAAACAGCACAGTTGACAAATATATGGTAAATAGAAATCAAAACTGGATGGTCTTCAGAGATAGCTGGGAGGGGTTGAGGGTAGCTGAAGTATGGGATTAAAAACAAACAAAAGATAACTATTATAAAATATACTGTGTCCGTAAAATGTACAGTATATAGTATGTATAAGCTGGAAGTAGAAGCTTAAGTGTTGTTGTCCATTAGTTTACTCCAATTAGGGGAGGGGTGGTAGGGTTAGGGGAAAATGATAAAGGAAAATATATTTAAAAATATACATATTTTATATATATACAGTACCAGTCAAAAGTTTGGACACACCTACCCATTCAAGGGTTTTTCTTTATTTGTACTATTGTCTACATTGTAGAATAATAGTGAAGACATCAAAACTATGAAATAACACATATGGAATCATGTAGTAACCAAAAAAGTGTTAAACAAATCCAAATATATTTTATATTTGAGATTCTTCAAAGTAGCCACCCTTTGCCTTGATAACAGCTTTGCACACTCTTGGCATTCCCTCAACCAGCTTAGTGAGGAATGCTTTTCCAACAGTCTTGAAATAGTTCCCACGTATACTGAGCACTTGTTGGCTGCTTTTCCTTCACTCTGCAGTCCAACTCAATCCAAACCATCTCATTTGGGTTGAGGTCGGGTGATTGTGGAGGCCAGGTCATCTGATGCGGAACTTCATCCCTCTCCTTGGTCAAATAGCCCTTACACAGCCTGGAGGTTTGTTTTGGGTCATTGTCCTGTTGAAAAACAAATGATAGGCCCACTAAGCACAAACCAGATGGGATGGCGTATCGCTGCAGAATGCTGTGGTAGCCATGCTGGTTAAGTGTGCCTTGAATTCTGAATAAATCACTGACAGTGTCCCCAGCAAAGCATCCCCACACCATTACACCTCCTCCTCCATGCTTCATGGTGGGAACCACACATGCAGAGATCATCCGTTCACCTACTCTGTCTCACAAAGACAATGCGGTTTGAACCAAAAATCTCAAATTTGAACTCATCAGACCAAAGGACAGATTTCCACCGGTCTAATGTCCATTGCTCATTTTTCTTGGCCCAAGCAAGTCTCTTCTTCTTATTGGTGTCCTTTAGTAGTGGTTTCTTTGCAGCAATTCAACCATGAAGGCCTGATTCACGCAGTCTCCTCTGAACAGTTGATGTTGAGATGTGTCTGTTACTTGAACTCTGTGAAGCATTTATTTGGGCGGCAATCTGAGGTGCAGTTAACTCTAATGAACTTATCCTCTGCAGCAGAGGTACCTCTGGGTCTTCCCATCCTGTGGTGGTTCTCATGAGAGCCAGTTTCATCATAGCGCTTGATGGTTTTTGCGACTGCACTTGAAGAAACTTCAAAGTTCTTGACATTTTCCGGATTGACTAACCATGTCTGAAAGTAATGATGAACTGTCGTTTCTCTTTGCTTATTTGAGCTGTTCTTGCCATAATATGGACTTGGTCTTTTACCAAATAGAGCTATCTTCTGTATCCCACCCCTACCTTGTCACAACACAATTGATTGGCTCAAACGCATTAAGAAGGAAATAATTCCACAAATTAACTTTTAACAAGGCACACCTGTTAATTGAAATGCATTCCAGGTGACTACCTCATGAAGCTGGTTGAGAGAATGCAAAGCTGTCATCAAGGCAAAGGGTGGCTATTGGAAGAATCTCAAATATAAAATATATTTAGATTTGTTTAGCACTTTTTTGGTTACTTCCTGATTCCATATGGGTTATTTCATAGTTTTGATGTCTTCACTATTATTCTACATAAATGTAAAAAATAGTAAAAATAAAGAAAAACCCTGGAATGACTAGGTGTGTCCAAGCTTTTGACTGATACTGTATATATATATTTACTAAGAAAATAAAAATGATGCAGACAATTACATTGATGGAAGCCACAATCTATCTGCAATATTAAAGCTGATCTACCCCCTAAATAATTAATTAATTAATAAAACCCCATGCAGGATCTTTGTTTACCTCATGTCATGCTGTCATATCTAAAGTATAATGCTCTGTGCTGGAGGTTGGTCTGGTGATCAAAACTGCAGCCTCCAGACAAAACATGCCCCCAACAGCTGAGGTTCCAATCCTCATTGTGCCAGTTGCTATACTGCCCTCCCACTCTACTTATCCCACTATAATGTCAATGCTTTCTAAATAAAGCAAGACTAACAATGCTCTGTCTACACAACAGTCTAGAATAACATGAAATGCAAGAGAGGTAGGAAAGCTAAGAAGCCGCTGGATATTACCTTCAAGGCACTTGAAAAGTTAATGGGCTTTGTATTGAAACACATTGTGATTAATTTGAAAAAAGAGAAAGAGGTACTTTTAAGTGATACTTCATGCTCAGAATAATTGGCTTTTTTAGCAATAAAGTAATGGAGGTCACTTTAGGAATAGTGATGAGAAAAGTAATACAAATTAATTTCTCCAAACATACCCTGAAAGTTAGACTTTTCTGATAGTGTGCTATTAAAGCTCCTATGTGTTTGATGAATGAGTGAGTGAGTGGTGCTTTTAACTGCTCTGTGATGAAATTAAAAAGAAACAAACAACATTGGTTTGGTGCATGCATCTGTCTGTCTGTCCATCTGTCGTGTGGATGTACTGTATATAGTACATTGCTATCAAGTACTGGTATCATACCTAAACATGTTTGTTTCTCCTACACAGCAGGGCGTGACACAGGTTGACACAAAGATGAGACACTCACCGTCCATCCTCCTCCGTCCGTTGTCATGTCACAGAAGACCTGGAAGCCAGCAGGGTAGTGTGTGGGAAAGACAGAGTAGATCCCATCCTCCCGCTGGCCACTGGCGAAGATATCACTGCAGTCCCGAGGTCTGGAGCCTAGCGAGATCAGATAGACACCTGATTAACTTTTAAATCCTAGATTTTCTCATAGAAATGATTCAATTAAACCAGTGAGCTCCACCAATTTATTCTCTTAATAGTCTGTCTTATCTCTGAATATACCCAGACAGCTTCACTACACCCTGTCCAAATCCTGTATGTACCTTATAGAAAAGCCATTTTTGTACAAATATTATTTGGGATATCAGAGTATGCAAACAGCTAACACAGTCTCAACCTATTTCAATATGAAGCTGTGCTTTTTTTCCTCTAGTGCAATTGTGAACAGTAGCCATGTCAGACATTAAATACATCTAACATATGGTTCACTGCAGCTCAAGGGATCAACAATTGTCCTACAGCTGACATGGTGTAGTTAAGTGATGTCCATGCACTCATTTACTATTTCTCCTTCCACCAGCCACTATCCATAGGCCTACCATTGGAGCAGCCATTGGGCCGACTATTACGGACAGGTGCTCTCTGGAGGTCTGCCTTCAGCTTGCTCTTCAGGTTCCCTGTCTCCTTTTGCATGGAGTTGAGTGTATCACTCACGGAGTTCACCACCTTCACCATGTTGATCTGGCTCTCGGACAGCAGCTGGAAACAAACACACAAACAGCCCATTAAAGGGCCACTCTGTATTTGGAAAAACAACTAAACAGCAGCCTTGCAACCTGCTATGAAGCTGCCGGATGGGGCTGGAGAAATGACTGACAGAGCTAGGATGAAATGTCCTAACGGTAACTGTTTTGAACAATGTATTTGGATGTAATGTTAGTTAGGTGTACTTGTACAGTATGTACCTGACACATGAAATTCGTTTTTCTAAAGGATTTCCTTTGACTAAACTAATCTCCAGTTGAAGAGGGCATGCAGACACCTCCCATTCTCTCATATCTTAGACATCAGGGATCATGCGATATCACTTCAGGCTCTCTTAATCTACACACACGAGGACATTAGATTACATTCCCTTGGTAGACATGGCATTAACAGCAAACTCCACACAATTGGGAGTAAATGCAATTAGGCTTTCCCTGAGTGTGAGTGTTCATTAATCAGAATGTAGGGTGTACAATCAAAAATGAATAATTTGACAAATGGTTAAAGTAATATGTTAATTCTGTAGATAATCCTCTAAGAAAACGAATGGTTCAAACCTCATGTCTCTATCATAATCCGTTCAAATGTTTTTTGAGTTTTTACCCATGTAGGATGGCCAGAATTAGGGTGACTAAATCAATGGAGGTCAGAGAAAAAAAGTGGTCACAAATCTGGAAAATTGCATCATGTCTGCTAGGCTGGATTCTGGCCTACTGGCCACCTGACAGGCACACTTTCCTGTTGAACTCGTCATCTTTCTTCTCAAATCTGAAGAACATAAAACAATATAGAGTTAAGATGTATATCGATTTTGAGACATAACATGTAGTATTTTCATATTTTAGTGTACGCTATAGATATTAATTCTAAATTCCTATTCTTCTTCGAGAATGTCTCAGAAAAACAATCGTACCTCTGTGAAATGTCAATTGAGCACTGAGCGTGCCGTATACCAAGTTTTTTATTTTCAAAGCCTTTTACGTTTACAGTGTAGTTTTGGCAAGTCGGCTAGGACATCTACTTTGTCCAACAATTGTTTACAGACAGGTTATTTCACTTATAATTCACTGTATCACAATTCCACTGAGTCAGAAGTTTACATACACTAAGTTGACTGTGCCTTTAAACAGCTTGGAAAATTCCAGAAAATAATGTCATGGCTTTAGAAGCTTCTGATAGGCTAATTGACATCATTTGAGTCAAATGGAGGTGTACCTGTGGATGTATTTCAAGGCCTAACTCAGTGCCTCTTTCCTTGACATAATGCGAAAATCAAAAGAAATCAGCCAAGACCTCAGAAAAAAAATTGTAGACCTCCACAAGTCAGCCTTAGGAGCAATTTCCAAATGCCTGAAGGTACCACGCTCATCTGTACAAACAATAGTACGCAAGTATAAACAGCATGGGACCAAGCAGCCGTCATACCACTCAGTAAGGAGACGCGTTCTGTCTCCTAGAGATGAACGTACTTTGGTGCGAAAAGTGCAAATCAATCCCAGAACAACAGCAAAGGACCTTGTGAAGATGCTGGAGGAAACCAGTACAAAATAATCTATATTCACAGTAAAACGAGTCCTATATCGACATTACCTGAAAGGCCGCTCAGCAAGGAAAAAGCCACTGCTCCAAAACCGCCATAAAAAAGCCAGACTACATTTTTTCAACTGCACACAGAAATACAACTGTTTGGCCATAATGACCATCGTTATGTTTGGAGAAAAAAGGGGGGGCCTTGCAAGCCGAAGAACACCATCCCAACCGTGAAGCACGGGGGTGGCAGCATCATGCTGTGGGGGTGCTTTGCTGCAGGAGGGACTGGTGCACTTCACAAAATAGATGGCATCATGAGGAAGGAAAATTATGTGGATATATTGAAGCAACATCTCAAGACATCAGTAAGGAAGTTAAAGCTTGGTCGCAAATGGGTCTTCCAAATGGACAATGACCCCAAGCATACTTCCAAAGTTGTGGCAAAATGGCTTAAGGACAACAAAGTCAACGTATTGGAGTGGCCATCACAAAGCCCTGACCTCAATCCTATAGAACATTTGTGGGCAGAACTGAAAGAGCGTTTTTGAGCAAGGAGGCCAACAAACCTGACTCCGTTACACCAGCTCTGTCAGGAGGAATGGGCCAAAATTCACCCAACTTATTGTGGGAAGCTTGTGGAAGGCTACCCGAAACGTTTGACCCAAGTTAAACAATTTAAAGACAATGCTACCAAATACTAATTGAGTGTATGTACATTTCTGACCCACTGGGAATGTGATTAAATAAATAAAAGCTGAAATAAATAATTATCTCTACTATTATTCTGACATTTCGCATTCTTAAAATAAAGTGGTTATCCTAACTGACCTAAGACAGGGAATTTTTACTAGGATTAAATGTCAGGAATTGTGAAAAACTGCGTTTACATTTATTTGGCTAAGGTGTATGTAAACTTCCGACTTCAACTTTAGACAGGTGTGTGCCTTTCCAAATCATGTCCAATCAATTGAATTTACCACAGGTGGATTCCAATCAAGTTGTAGAAACATCTCAAGGATGATCAATGGAAACAGGATGCACCTGAGCTCAATTTCGAGTCTCATAGCAAAGGGTCTGAATACTTATGTAAATAAGGTATTTCTGATTTATATTTTTGCAAAAAAATCTAAAAACCTGTTTTCACTTTGTTATTATGGGGTATTGATGAGGGAAAAAAATAATGTAATACATTTTAGAATAAGGCTGTAACGTAACAAAATGTGGAAAAAAGGAAAGGGTCTGAATACTTTCTGAATGCACTGTTATTCAATTTGTGTCATGCAAATGTAGCTTTTTGCGACCAGCGGAAACCAACTTTGACGACGACCACCACAAAATTTAAAATCCTCAAAAGTTGTTACGAGAAACCTGCATCACTATGTCAACAGAGCTCAGTACTTATTATCATCTGTATTACAGTAGGTTACGAAATCCGACTTTTTTGATATAATGTTAATGATATGTTTGAGAAAGACCCCACTGAACAATTCAGAACATTAATATTCATATTTGTCTTGGTAAAATGTATTTTATAACATAAGGAAGTTACATTTCGTCACCAAAGCGCATTTTCACCCACTCTAGGAAGTTTACAGCATGGGTGGGCAATAATTTCATCTCAAGAGCGACATCGGCATTTCATTTTCCAGACCGATTTGTTTGTCAAAAGCAATTTGCTGAACAAAGTTATTTGAAAAGATATAGGTCCATTATAATGTCAACATAATTTCTATCTAGTTTTAGACCTTCAATAGTGGCCTGGAGTGTTTTTTAACCCAAAATAATCATTTCCCAAATGAATTTAATTATAACAATATTTATTTTACTCAAACATCCCTGGGTCGGAATGAATGGGCCAAAAAGCAAAAAGGAGGTCGGTGAGCAGCAGCATCAAACCACAGAGGCTGCCAACAAGCCCAGCAGGGTTGATGCTGCTGAGCTCCAGCTAGCTCCGCGTGCAAAACCTACCCACCCTTCCACAAGCGTCGCCAGGATAATGGCTCCACAGCCCCCTCCACCTCCGTCTGTTCCTGACGATCTTGGAATAGAGAAGCCAGCCCAGGTTAGCCTAGAATCCTACCCTAGCCGCAGGTTTTCTGTCCAAAAACGTTCATTTTATAGCAATTGGTTCATAGGAAGAGAGTGGCTGTGATACTCAGTTACTGCAGATTAGAGCCCTGCATGGGCATGAAATTAAGCCGAGTCCTACCCATGCCCACAACATTCAGGTTGTACCATACCCAGGCCCGATTTCTTTTGCCAAATTTAAGGCCCAGCGCAGTCCTGCCCGAAACTCAAAATCTAGTAAATCCATTAACTGCTCCTCTCTGTCTGTCACTCGATCACCCCGCTTGGGCTGCTCTGCCAGAGATATTGGAGATAGGAATCTCATTCGGCAATGAATAGAGGAACGTGTAACGCCCCACCCAGCAGACTGTCGACCAATCGTGTTCACGTTGACATGCTGCGTCACGCTGTTGCTAAGCTAATCATCACGCAATCCCTTCAGGAATGTGCCTAGTTTCCTCGAAAGTACATCATGTCACGATTCCAAAGCTATACAACAATATAGATAGCAAGTTAATTATCTCACATCTTGGAAAAGATTTGTAATGTTTTACTTCTTGACAAATAAATTAATGCTAATGTTGGGTTTTTGAGCTAGCGCCCAATTGACTCCCATTCACTCCTTGAAGGAGAGCTCTCCTTGTCCCAGAATCGCCCAGAATTCACCGCCCGGCCCATTGACGTAGTATGGGCAACGTATACAGCTCATTTTCCACTTTGACAAATGTGTTCACTCAGCACAGAAGAAGCATGCTACACCCGAGGAAAGCTAAACTAATCCAACTGGCATTTGAGGGGGATCTTACAAGAAGATTTCTGGGAGAATGGAATGATCAATTACTCAGGAAGTTCCACAGAGCATCAAGGAGGCTGCAACTCTTCTGAAAAGGTAAGAAACAATCTAGCTGGTTAGTTTTATCAACATCTTGGTGGTATAGCCAGTGGCATCATTCAGCAAAAATCTAGGGTATGGAATGGCAAAATGACCTCCGTGTGTGTAGGGCTCTGTCCATGGTGCTGCTTGAGCGCAGCGGAGATTTCAAGCCAACCTGTCACTTCTTGGTCAAAAGCACTCAATGATGTCGGCATTTTAACTTTTATGTTTATTGTGGTATAGCGTGATAAACAGAATTCAATATAATTCCATTGCAAGAACCCAAATAATGCCCCTGGGTATAGGTACATATCGGTTTGTTTCATCATACAAATAGTGTCACAAGTGTAGAGAGGTGTAGGCAGGAGGCAGTCGCAGGGTTAGTTACTACTGAATATATTAAAGCACCATAGCTTAAAGCAGGACGAAACCCACAGTGCAAAATATAAAGGACTCAGGAAATAGTAGGAGCGATTCCTCTCAGGAAAACAAGCAACATATACAATGACCGACAAAGACAATTGACAGAGAGAGTATATATACAGTGATAGAGTGGGGATTGGAACCAGGTGTGTGTAATGATGACGAGACAAGTCCGGGGTTGATGAGTGAAGGGCGTTTGCCAGCAGCAGGTTCGGCAGCAGCTAGAAGGCCAGCGACGCCTGAGCTGGACAAGAGGGGGAGCCAAAGCGAAGGCTGGTGTGACAAATAGAGACATTCTATTATAGTTTTCTTGGTAGCCTATTGGTTTTCGTGGTTGTTAATGGAACTGTGCATATTGGAAATGTGTTTATGGTAGGCTGGCATTGCTTAATTGATTACGAGGGTTGAATTTGATCCACATACAGTACCAGTAAAAAATTTGGACACACCTACTCATTCCAGGGTTTTTCTTTATTTTTACTATTTTCTACATTGTAGAATAATAGTGAAGAAATCAAAACTATGAAATAACACATATGGAATCATGTAGTAACCAAAAAAGTGTTAAACAAATCAAAATATATTTTATATTAGAGATTCTTCAAAGTAGCCACCATTTGCCTTGATGACAGCTTTGCACAATCTTGGAATTTTGTCACTGTGGAAATGCCCTGGGATATTATTTGCTTGAACTCTCGGCTTGTAAAAAGTGATGTAGGCCTACAATTCTCATTAAAACATATTTCGTTCTAGGGCACATATGATAACAATCAATATGACAAGGGGGCGCCAAATATAAAAATTACACTGTGCTCTGACCTTCAGTTATCACCCCTTTTGCAGCTTTTTTTAATAATTGAAAACAGATCCAGAGGTCTCACCATTAAAATCAATAACTAAATTACCCCACCTCTCTCTTCTTTCCTCCGAAACGTTTTTCTTATCTCCCTCCGGGTACTATTATCAACACTGTCAAATGGCTCCCCAGAAAGCACTGCCTGGAAAGCACAACTACACTCCTCACTTTTACCTGCTACCTTGTCTGAAGGAGAAGGCCTTGGCTCTACTCTCTAAATGTACATTTTGCCTGACAGTGTTCTTACAGCTTAGGCTCTGTGTCTCCGACACTCATTGTGTCAATGTAAATGTGACTGTGCAGCAGTGTTTGGCTGGCTGTCAGTGAGCAGATGCCACTTGGAGACAGGAGAGGGACAGGGGAGGGGGAGAAGTGCCAACTGGTGTTCATTTAACGGCTAAGGTGACAGATGAGTCAAGATGAGTCAAGCCTTCTTCTTGATTCCAATGACTTAGCGAGGGCAGAAATGGTTGTTTCTGTGACAGAGGCTATAATCACCACATCCCTGATGGAATGTAACACTGTAGCAACGGACCGGGTATCTATTGCCTGTAGTGATCATTCTAATGAGGTCACTTTGATAATGAAGTGACCGTAGGCATCAGGGCTCTTGCAGGACTTTGAATTCATAGTGGGAATCAAGGTAGTTAACAGCACCACCCCCTCTCCTTTTGGAATCCCAATCCCTTTCATATTTCATTATTTAGGACAGTCTAGTAGAAAGAAGACAGGGAGACAGATATAGGGGAGCAGTCAGATGGGAATGGCTAAAACATGTTTAGAACCCCTGGGGGATATGGTCTGTAGTCAGCAGAACTACCACTAGACCAGACTCGGACACCATCCACTTCTACCACAACTGTCTAAAGGTGATCTCCTGCAAATCCACTTTCAAAGCCTCTATATACCTCACACTCTCCTTATGACCTACTTAGCTGTTGTAATTATCCCTGACACAGGGTATAAAATACAGTAGGTTAGGAAAGTAGATCTATTTTTTCATTATTTACTATAGTTGAATCCAATATTACAGAAGTTGAGGGAGTTGGCAAAAAGGTAGAGAGGTATGAGAGGAGATACAAATGTTTTTTTTCCTCTGGCAGACCTTGATAGCTTTGACAACTGGGCTATGGATTATGGTTATTGTCTGCATCATGGCATACAGTACTCAGTACTCTGGTGAAATTTAGGCTCTAGTTACCATTGAATGGATCTTGAAAATGTGTTGCTTTGTATTGTGCAGTTCTCCTTCTGCTGCTACACACAGTTAAAATAGTAGTATTGTGCAGTAAAACCATGAAAAGTAGGGCACCTAAGCTGAGATCTGGTGTTTGAATGTAAACCCAATGTAAGTGTTACGATACACTGAATGTATTTCAAAACAGAATGGAAGTACTCTGAATCACCCAAAGTGGTTCTTCAATATGAATAATTGAGTTTTTAAGAGTGTTGTGAAAACACTTTTTGGTGTTTCAGTGAATGTAAAGGGCAGCATTAAAACACAAAAAAATAATAAATGGTTTTAAATTGCAAATGGATTTTCACATATATATTGATTGATTATGATTTTCATGTCCTCTTGCTCAGTTGTGCACCAGGGCCTCCAACTCCTCTTTCTATTCTGGTTAGAGCCAGTTTGCGCTGTTCTGTGAAGAGAGTAGTACACAGCGTTGTACGAGATCTTCAGTTGCTTGGCAATTTCTCGCATGGAATAGCCTTAATTTCTCAGAACAAGAATAGACTGACGAGTTTCAGAAGAAAGTTATTTGTTTCTGGTCATTTTTATTCTGTAATCGAACCCACAATTGCTGATGCTCCAGATACTCAACTAGTCTCAAGAAGGCCAGTTGTATTGCTTCTTTAATCAGCACAACAGTTTTCAGCTGTGCTAACATAATTGCAAAAGGGTTTTCTAATGATCAATTAGCCTTTCAAAATGATAAACTTGGATTAGCAAACACAACATGCCATTGGAACACAGGACTGATGGTTGCTGATAATGGGCCTCTGTACGCCTATGTAGATATTCCATTAAAAATCATCCGTTTCCAGCTACAATAGCCATTTACAACATTAACAATTTCTACACTGTATTTCTGATCAATTTGATGTTTTTCTCTCGAAAACAAGGACATTTCTAAGTGACCCCAAACTTTTGAATGGTAGTGTAGGTTAAATGCAACCATTTTAGAACCTGAGTTTTTAGCAACGGCATGGCTTATACGCATTAGAGGCTTCCAATGGCGTTGAATGCATAGCGAAGACCGGGGCTAAATGTAACACGGATCAGGTGAAACAGGTTATTTACAGTACATGATCCTTGTTTGGTTGAGTGCCAGTGGAACGTTTTTTTGGGGGGGCGACATTCAAGTCATCAATATGTTGCTCGCAGCAAGATAACCTTGTGTTTAGACTGTAGAGTTGGTGATCTAGCTAATGAGTAGTCCAATGGGGTACATGGGCAACCCTCAGCCTATTTATAGACAATATGCTGCATCAGGTGGGCTACATCAGGTGATAATAATTATTGCTAAATAGCACGCCTGCCTCATAATATGGATTAATAAGTTATATTGGGCTCATTTCTGAAGGGGGAATTATATTTTAATTCATTTTGGAGTAGGATGTCCTTTTAAAAAGTCACCAGAACTGACATTCTCACGGTAATTCTCCCCCCCAAAATTGTAGATCACTCCGCGACCTATAGTATGCTGTGATATGTGCTTTTGTCAGTATATATTTAGGCCAGTATATTAGGCCTCCCAAATCCCAATTTTAACCACTGGCTACATGGAGTTGTTACCCTTTGCCTTGATGACAGCTTTGCACATGCTTGGCATTCTCTCAACCAGCTTCATGAGGTAGTCACCTGGAATGCATTTCAATTAACACGTGTGCCTTCTTAAAAAATAATTTGTGGAATTTCTTTCATTCTTAATGCGTTTGAGCCAATCAGTTGTGTTGTGACAAGGTAGGGGTGGTATACAGAAGATAGCCCTATTTGGTAAAAGACCAAGTCCATATTATGGCAAGAACAGCTCAAATAAGCAAAGAGAAACGACAGTCCATCATTACTTTAAGACATGAAGGTCAGTCAATCCGGAACGTTTCAAGAACTTTCAAAGTTTCTTCAAGTGCAGTCGCAAAAACCATCAGGCGCTATGATGAAATTGGCTCTCATGACGACCGCCACAGGAAAGGAAGACCCAGAGGTACCTCTGCTGCAGAGGATAAGTTCATTAGAGTTAACTGCACCTCAGATTGCCGCCCAAATAAATGCTTCACAGAGTTCAAGTAACAGACACATCTCAACATCAACTGTTCAGAGGAGACTGCGTGAATCAGGCCTTCATGGTCGAATTGCTGCAAAGAAACCACTACTAAAGGACACCAATAAGAAGAAGAGACTTACTTGGGCCAAGAAAAACGAGCAATGGACATTAGACCGGTGGAAATCTGTCCTTTGGTCTGATGAGTTCAAATTTGAGATTTGTGGTTCAAACCGCATTGTCTTTGTGAGACAGAGTAGGTGAACGGATTATCTCTGCATGTATGGTTCCCACCGTGAAGCATGGAGGAGGTGGTGTGATAATAATAATAATAATAATATGCCATTTAGCAGACGCTTTTATCCAAAGCGACTTACAGTCATGCGTGCATACATTTTTTTTGTGTATGGGTGGTCCCGGGGATCGAACCCACTACCTTGGCGTTACAAGCGCCGTGCTCTACCAGCTGAGCTGCTTTGCTGGTGACACAGACAGTGATTTATTAAGAATTCAAGGCACATTTAACCAGCATGGCTACCACAGAATTCTGCAGTGATACGCCATCCCATCTGGTTTGCGCTTTGTGGGACTGTCATTTGTTTTTCAACAGGAAAATGACCCAAAACACACCTTCAGGCTGTGTAAGGGCTATTTTACCAAGAAGGAGAGTGATGGAGTGCTGCATCAGATTACCTGACCTCCACAATCACCCGACCTCAACCCAACTGAGATGGTTTGGGATGAGTTGGACCACAGAGTGAAGGAAAAGCAGCCAACAAGTGCTCAGTATATGTGGGAACTCCTTCAAGACTGTTGGAAAAGGATTCCTCATGAAGCTGGTTGAGAGAATGACAAGAGAGTGCAAAGCTGTCATTTACATTTACATTTAAGTCATTTAGCAAACACTCTTATCCAGAGCGACTTACAAATTGGTGCATTCAACTTAATGTAGCCAGTGGGAGGGGGAGGGGGGGGGGGGATTACTGTTATACTATTCCAGGTATTCCTTAAAGAGGTAGAGTTTCAAGTGTCTCCGGAAGGGGTCAGTGACTCCGCTGTCCTGGCGTCGTGGGGGTGCTTGTTCCACCATTGGGGTGCCAGAGCAACGAATAGCTTTGACTGGGCTGAGCGGGAACTGTGCTTCCGTAGTGGTAGGGGGGCTAGCACCCCAGAGGTGGATGAACGTAGTGCCCTCGTTTGGGTGTAGGGTCTGATCAGAGCCTGAAGGTAAGGAGGTGCCGTTCCCCTCACAGCTCCGTAGGCAAGCACCATGGTTTTGTAGTAGATGCAAGCTTCAACTGGAACCAGTGGAGTGTGTGGTGGAGCGGGGTGACATGAGAAAACTTGGGAAGATTGAACACCAGACGGGCTGCAGCGTTCTGGATAAGTTGTAGGGGTTTAATGGCACAGGCAGGGAGCCCAGCCAACAGCGAGTTGCAGTAATCCAGACGGGAGATGACAAGTGCCTGGATTAGGACCTGTTCAAAGGGTGGCTACTTTGAAGAATCTAAAATATATTTTGATTTGTTTAACACTTTTTTGTTTACTAGATGATTCCATGTGTTATTTCATAGTTTTCATGTAGGTGTGTCCAAACCTTTGACGGGTACTGTATGGTTCAACTATTGAAGTATTTCCTGTGCTAGGTCTAAGGGATAATGTTTGCTTTTTAAATGTTGTTTTATGTTCCGAATCTAGAAAAACATGCCAAATGCTAACAAAATTAGCCTTGGAGAATTTTATTGCGCAAAAAAATAAAACAAAAAGGTTTGGAGATGTATATTACAAATTTGAATAATCTAATGTTAGAATTAAACAATCAAGGCCTTTAAACACTTCTTGGAAAATAAATGGACAATAAATGTACAAATGAAATGCCTATTATGGTGTCTGATGGAGTTTACATTAATTCAGTTACTTGCATTTTATGAAGAAAAAATAACAATAATTAAGAGTTTGTTCCTTTACATGGTGTGATAGCTGATACTTTGGTCTATCAAAATATATATTTCAAATGTCGTTAAAGGGGAATGGAAACACTAGTCTTTAGAACACTAGCTCACTAACTGTATATCGCCATATTGGCATTGTTGCATCATCAACATTGTTGCATCATCGGTAGGAGAATTTACTGAGACCATAACCTCTGCGTACATTAATGAGCATAATTTTCTGGTGTCAAACCCAATGAAAACATGATACATACACTACATGACCAAAAGTATGTGGACACCTGCTCGTCGAAAATCTAATTCCAAAAATGTTTTTATTTTATTTATTTCACCTTTATTTAACCAGGTAAGCCAGTTGAGAACAAAATAATGGGGATTAAGATGGAGTTGGGCCCCCCTTTGCTGCTATAACAGCCTCCACTCTTCTGGGAAGGCTTTCCACTAGATGTTGGAACATTGCTGCTCGGCCATGGAACACCAAGTGTCCACTTTTACATTATGGGGTATTGTGTGTAAGCCAGTGACACACAATCTCAATTTAATCAATTTTAAATTCAGGCTGTAACACAACAAAATGCGGAAAAAGTCAAGGGGTGTGAATAATTTCCAAAGGCACTGTACACTCTTCTCATTTGCAACACTCTTCTCCTTTGCAAGGTATTATCATTCTAATAAGTGCAGTGTGCATGCAAAATTATTTGGCTGTGGACTAATGGACACCAGAAATAGTCCTTTAAAAAGCAACAAATCCCTTTAAAAACAGCATATGTGGCATCGATTCGAGTCAGAAACAGTTATTCTAGTGTCAAAATTGACTACAAAGTGTAAATAGGATAATTTTGGTCATAAAGTAAATTTCGTTTAAAATGGAGTTTGGAACATCGGTGCGTCCCAACAGGTAAATGAAGGTCGGGTTTTGATTTGACGATGCCCATTTGCCCACGAACATGGGGTGAACAGCTTCGGTGAATACTCTCTATCCAATAGCATAGACAGATCTGCCCAGCAGCTCCGACTTTGTTTACATAAGACAATAATTTATAATAATAATATATGCCATTTAGCAGACGCTTTTATCCAAAGCGACTTACAGTCATGCGTGCATAATTATAATTTTTTTGTGTATGAACACGTCACACATTTTTACTGAGAATTGCACCAAACCTAGTTAGATGTAAAATTACCAACTAAACATGCTTGCAAAATGTACAAAATATGATCGATTTTTTTAGAAAGTAAATAGCTTGCATCTACAGTCCATGGGGATAACCAAACAGAACACCTTCTAATAAGTACTGCATGCATACTTACTATTAGTTATATACTTGCAAAGAGAGAAGTCAAAGGCTGGCTGCGTGCCTAAATGACTTGCCAAGGGGTATGGTGATTTGGACCAGTAATCTGTAGATTTTTTAACATGTCTTGAGCTTATAAAGAGATACAGTTAAGCTACTTTAAAACACCTTTTCAGGACAAGTTCCCAGTTGATATATCGAAAGCGCATGTCTCTACTACTAAGTCTTCATATTTTACACAGAGATCAGGGGTTGTTCTATACGGATGAATGGAACATTTTGAAGGGCCATTTGCCGTATCAATAACCTTAAAATTCCACAGTAAAAAGTGTGTAGTTGCTTAGTGAAAAGGTTTCAGGATGTAACCTATTTTTGTTCTTGCAGCCTTGTCTGCTTAGTACAGTCAAGGGTTCATCTCATAGGGGATTTGTGGCAGGAAATCTGACATTTTAAAGGACTGTATTTCTAGAGTGCATTAGTCCACAGCCAAATCATTGTGCATGCACACTGTACTTATTAGAGTTATAATACCCTGCAAAGGAGAAGAGTGTAGGTCAATGCCTTTGGCTGCAGTGCATAAGTTGACTTTGCACAAAGTGGTATGGCGATTTGGACCTGCCTAAATGACTACCGCCCCGAATGCTGTTCATTGACTACATCTCAGCGTTCAACACCATAGGGCCCTCAAAGCTCATCACTAAGCTAAGGACCCTGGGACTAAACACCTCCCTCTGAAACTGGATCCTGGACATCCTGACGGGCCGCCCCCAGGTGGTAAGGGTAGGCAACCATATGTCTGCCACGCTGATCCTCAATCCTGGGGCCCCTCAGGGGTGAGTGCTTAGTCCCCTCCTGTACTCCCTGTTCACCCATGACTGCGTGGCCAAGCACGACTCCAACACCATCATTACGTTTGCGATGAGACAGCCTATAGGGAGGAGGTCAGAGACCTGGCAGTGTGGTGCCAGGACAACAACCTCTCCCTCAATGTGAGCAAGACAATGGAGCTGATTGTGGACTTCAGGAAAAGGAGGGCCGAACAGGGCTGTAGTTGAGAGTTTCAAGTGCCTTGGTGTCCACATCACCAACAAACTATCATGGTCCAAACACACCAAGACAGTCATGAAGAGGGCACGACTATTTATATTTAATTTTTTACTTTCGTTTATTTAGTAAATATTTTACTCTATTTCTTGAACTGCATTGTTGGTTAAGGGCTTGTAAGTAAGCATTTCACGGCCATTTGCCGTATCAATAACCTTACAATTTCACAGTAAAAATGTCTGATGCTGTTATAAGTTATAGATACAAGTGTGTTGCTTAGTGAAAAGGTTTCAGGATGTAACCTATTTTTTTATTTGTGACCGTGTCTGCTTGGTTCAGTCAGGGCTAGTTATGGTTAGGGCTAAGAGAGGTTTTCAAAGAGGCCCTATTGGGAAGTAAATGCATGATTATCTGAAAACAAAACAAAATGTTAGTTGTCATTCACACTTCATATACTATGTAATAGCATGTTCTAAAATATACATCAACATTATTCTAGAAAACATACTGTTTAGATATAGTTTGAGTTCATTTTGTAAAACAGCATTAGGGTTATAATTTTAGGCCCTATTTTTTGAAAGTGTTATTTCCATAGTTTTTTTACAAGGTAACTTATATCTACAGTTGTTTGCCATGAACATGTTTATTAATTTCCAACAAAAAAGTTAATACATTTATATAACAGACAAAGCATGAGAATTAAATTATATGTATTTTCGGTACATCCGACAGGGCCTCTGTTACCTACGATTTATAGTTAGAAATTGTTGTAAATCCAAGAATAAAGGAGAAAACATTATGAAACTGCATGCAATTAACAGAAGAGGATGTAGGAACATGCTGACAGTGTGAACCCTCTGACCACATCACATCATGTAAAAGTGTTATCCAACCATTAACATTGTTTTCAAACATCAAAGGGATGCACAATCATGCAATACACTGGGATTTTTAAAATCTAAATATTGATGGAAATGTATTTTACATGGAGATAATGAGATAACAATTTGCTCGCTCCTACCAATGAAGCATTGGTGTCAGTCGTTACTAAGGAAATTGAAGATGGCGCTACCCATACACCTCTAATAAACTTTGTTCATGATCAAAATACAAAAAATATTGATGTTTCTATGTTACAAGCACATGTTTAGTATTAGTGGATTGAATACATCTCTTTGCTCAGCTTTACTTCCTGAAGTGTTTCCATTCCCCTTTAATATTAAGAAAAATAGTTGTGAAAAAAAGTGGAGATTGTCCCATCTTTCAAAATTGCTATAATGGATAGCTTAATCACCTATTCATTTAGCCTATTGCTATTGATTTGTTTATTAATTGTATATTCATATTACAATATATTAATATTAAAGCATTTGATAACCTAATTATGCATTCACGTACTATCATCATTATTGATTGTTATTATTTGCAATTTTTATGTCTCCCTGCAGAAAGACATGGATACATACAGTACCAGTCAAACGTTTGGACACAGCTACTCATTTCTTTATTTGTACTATTTTCTACATTGTAGAATAATAGTGAAGACATCAAAACTATTAAATAACACATATGGAATCATAGTAACCAAAAAAGTGTTAAACAAATGAAAATATATTTTATATTTGAGATTCTTCAAATAGCCACCCTTTGCCTTGATGACAGCTTTGCACACTCTTGGCATTCTCTCAACCAGCTTCACCTGGAATTATTTTCCAACAGTCTTGAAGGAGTTCCTACATATGCTGAGCACTTGTTGGCTGCTTTTCCTTCACTCTGCGGTCTGACTCATCCCAAACCATCTCAATTGGGGTGAGGTCGGGGGATTGTGGAGGCCAGGTAATCTGATGCAGCACTCCATCACTCTCCTTCTTGGTAAAATAGCCCTTACACAGCCTGGAGGTGTGTTTTCGGTCATTGTCCTGTTGAAAAACAAATGATAGTCCCATTAAGCCCAAACCAGATGGGATGGTGTATCACTGCTGAATGCTGTGGTAGCCATGCTGGTTAAGTGTGCCTTGAATTCTAAATTAATCACAGACAGTGTCACCAGCAAAGCACTCCCACACCATAACACCTCCTCCTCCATGCTTTACAGTGTGAAATACACATGCAGAGATCATCCGTTCACCCACACCGTGTCTCACAAAGCCACGACGGTTGGAACCAAAAAGGACAAATTTCCACCGGTCTAATGTCCATTGCTCGTGTTTCTTGGCCCAAGCAAGTCTCTTCTTATTATTGGTGTCCTTTTGTGTTTTCTTTGTAGCAATTCGACCATGAAGGCCTGATTCACACAGTCTCCTTTGAACAGTTGATGTTGAGATGTGTCTGTTACTTGAAGTCTGTGAAGCATTTATTTGGGCTGCAATTTCTGAGGCTGGTAACTCTAATAAACGTATCCTCTGCAGCAGAGGTAACTCTGGGTCTTCCATTCCTGTGGCAGTCCTCATGAGAGCCAGTTTCATCATAGCGCTTGATGGTTTCTGCGACTACACTTGAAGAAACTTTCAAAGTTCTTGAAATGTTACGTATTGACAGACCTTCATGTCTTACAGGTGCATCCTGTTTCCATTGATCATCCTTGATGTTTCTACAACTTGACTGAAGTCCAGCTGTGGTAAATTCAATTGATTGGACATGATTTGGAAAGGCACTCACCGGTCTATATAAGGTCCCACAGTTGACACTGCATGTCAAAACAAAAACCAAGCCATGAGATCGAAGGAATTGTCCGTAGAGCTCCGAGACAGGATGATGTCAAGGCACAGATCAGGGGAGGGTACCAAAACATGTCTGCAGCATTGAAGGTCCCCAAGAACACATTGGCCTCCATCATTCTTAAATGGAAGAAGTTTGGAACCACCAAGACTCTTCCTAGAGCTGGCCGCCCGGCCAAACTGAGCAATTGGGGGAGAAGGGTCTTGGTCAGGGAGGTGACCAAGAACCCAATGGTCACTCTGACAGAGCTCCAGAGTTCCTCTGTGGAGATGGGAGAACCTTCCAGAAGGACAACCATCTCTGCAGCACTCCACCAATCAGTCCGTTAAGGTGGAGTGGCCAGACGGAAGCCACTCCTCAGTAAAAGGCACAAGACAGCCCACTTGGAGTTTGCCAAAAGGCACCTAAAGGACTCTCAGACCATGAGAAACAAGATTCTGTGGTCTGATGAAACCAAGATTGAACTCTTTGGCCTAAATGCCAAGCGTCACGTCTGGAGGAAACATGGCACTATCCCTACTGTGAAGCATGGTGGTGGCAGCATCATGCTGTGGGGGGGGGATGTTTTTCAGCAGCAGGGACTGGGAGACTAGTCAGGATCGAGGGAAAGATGAACGGAGCAATGTACAGAGAGATCCTTGATGAAAACCTGCTCCATAGCGCTCAGGACCTCAGGCTGGGACGAAAGTTCACCTTCCAACAGGACATCGACCCTAAGCACACAGCCAAGACAACACAGGAATGGCTTTGGGACAAGTCTCTGAATGTCCTTGAGTGGCCCAGTCACAGCCCGGACTTGAACCCGATCGAGTATCTCTGGAGAGACCTGAAAATCGTTGTGCAGTGACGCTCCCCATCCAACCTGACAGAACTTGAGAGGATCTGCAGAGAAGAATGGGAGAAACTCCCCAAACACAGGTGTGCCAAGCTTGTAGCGACATACCCAAGAACACTCGAGGCTGTTATCGCTCCCAAAGGCGCTTCAACAAAGTGCTGAGTAAAGGTCTGAATACTTTTGTAAATGTGATATGTCCGTTTTTTTTTTTTTTAATACATTTGCAAAAATGTCTTAAAACCTGTTTTTGCTTCGTCATTATGGGGTATTGTGTGTAGATTGATGAGGGGGGAAAAGGATTTAATCAATTTTAGAATATGGCTGTAACGTAACAAAATGTGGAAAAAGTCAAGAGGTCTGAATACTTCCCGAATGCGCTGTATATGCAAATAACCATTGCCATATATGGATCTGTGCCATTCACTGTGTTTATAGCATTAGCAGTCGCGAGTAGATGCGCTTGTTTTGATATCAAAGCGAGAGCTGAGTGTAGCCACCTGTGCACATTTTGTTCATATTCTTTGCTAGTTAGTGAGTTATTAGCCTAGTTATAGCTCATGTCCAGTCATTGTAGTCCCCTGTAGCTCAGTTTGTAGAGCATGTCGCTTGCAACGCCAGGGTTGTGGGTTCGTTTCCCACGGGGGGCCAGTATGAAAAAATGTATGCACTCACTAACTGTAAGTCGCTCTGGATAAGAGCGTCTGCTAAATTACTAAAATGTCAAAATGTAGTCAACAATGGGGGAGTGGTTGCTTCCTACAAGAGCACAAAATGTGTGCCTTTCTAGCCATCTTTAAAAAGCGAGTCAGGTAAAGAGCTTTTTTTATCAAATCTAATTTTATTTGTCACATGCGCCGAATACAACAGGTGTTGACCTTATTGTGAAATGCTTACTTGAAAGCCCTTAACCAACAATGCCAATGTGCCAGGTACAGGTTAGTCGAGGTAATATGTCTTAAAGGGGCAGTGTTGTATTTTGAGTCTTGAATAAGCTAAGTTGCCAATAGGCAGAGGGTAGCATAATTTGCCTGTTTCTCTCTAATAATGGTATGGGAATAATAATTAATGTTATTTTGTAAAGTGGATCAAACCACATTTTCAGTCACCTCCTTGTCTGAAGGACAAGTCGATAAACAGGTTTATGTCAAGCCCTGCATGTTTTTTTCAAAAGTCTCATGGAATGTAGGCCTACATTGAACACCACACATTAGCTGCTACTGACAGAACAGCTGTCAGTAGCAATACATTTGTCTCCATTGTTTTTGATGGTAGGCCACTCTGGAAGGCCTACATTATGATAAAATAGCCACAAAGAGCTGTGGAAGTCGCTTTGGATTAAAAACACTACTAAGGAAAGAAACCTATAAACTCCCACTTTGGCCACTGTTAAAACTGTAACTTAAAGCGGGTACAGCCTCAGTGTTCACAGTTAACGCACGCCGGTAGTTCCACAGAATTTTCACAATGTTGAAGTTAGCGCTCAGCAGACCTGAAATTTGCTCAGTGCTGAAAACAATTTGAGGGAACATTGGTGGACACCCTAGTATATGTTAAGTAAAATGTGTACAGAGAGTGTTATTGTCTCCCTGATCCAGGACTAATCAGAATACTTAAAAAAAAAAAAAAAACATCCAAACATCACCCCTGCCCAGACCTACCTGTTGATACTCCCTTCTCCAGCGCTCATATCACTCTCCGCCACATGGCCTCAAACTGCACCATTTTGTTTCTCTCCATTGCCCACGCACTTTCAACATTTAGATAATAAAGCATTTAACCTTTCCATTGTGTTAACGATGGAGGATTGGTTGATTTCCCGTTTTTAAGTATATGTTTTTTCAAGATGATTGAAAAGAAAAGTATCGTCCAACCCATCGGGTATCTCACTGCACCCTCATATGCCATATCTTGAAATATGCAGACAGACAGACTAAAAGTACATTTACATTGTAATACTTCTGACAGCCAACTTTCTGACTCCGGCCATACTTTTTTGACTTTATAACATTCCCAGAAGGCATGGATTATTGAGTCATTGTTAGTTTTACTCTTAAGACATGACTCTGCCATTGTGCTGTAGAATTTGTCTTGTGTAATAAATACATTAATTTATACTGGATTAAGCGTACATTTTCATTAACTGTAATTTCGTTAGTCATGTTCCAACATTCCATCCATCTAATTAGATTACAATGGTGTATTTTGTTTTAGCAAGAAACTCACAGTAATAATTGTGTGTATGTATTGTATGTGTGTGTGTGTGTGTGTGTGTGTGTGTGTGTGTGTGTGTGTGTGTGTGTGTATGTGTGCCTTCGACAAATGTTAATATTTGAGAAGTAACTCCTCTCGCTGTGAGGCTGCCAGTGCGATTTGGCAGATTATGTGAAAACAACTCATCTCATTCTTACCACGCTCAGAATTGATCTAATTCGTGACTTTGAATTAAGTGCTGCAGGGAAAAAAGCAACTGTTCAAGTCAAAAGAGCTGAACGGACAATACCAGGTTGACCTCTAAGTGTTGGAGAACATGAGGCTTGTGATTTGAACCAACCAACTTGCCTAAACACGGGAACACTTTTCTTGTAGGTTAATCTAGTCCGGTGAAGCTTGATTGTAGTAGGAAGCGTGAGAGGGCCAGGAGATCAACATTCATGTTATTATTCAAGCCAAAAATCTTCATAAGCTATACACTGAGTATACCAAACATTAGGAACACCTTCCTAATATTGAGTTCCACCCACCCCCCGTCCTCAGAACAGCCTCAATTCATCTGAGCATGGACTCTACAAGGTGTCGAAAGCGTTCCAAAGGGATGCTGGCCCATGTTGACTCCAATGCTTCCCTCAGTTGTGTAAAGTTGTCTGGATGTCCTTTGTGTGGTGGACCATTCTTGATACACAGGAGAAACTGTTGAGCGTGAAAAACCTAGCAGCGTTGCAGTTCTTGACACAAACCAGTGCGCCTGGCACCTACTACCATACCCCATTCAAAGGCACTGAAATATTTTGTCTTGCCCATTCACCCTCTGAATGGCACACATACAATCCATGTCTCAATTCTCAAGGCTTAAAAAGCCTTCTATAACCTGTCTCATCCCCTTCATCTACACTGACTTGAAGTGGATTTAACAAATGACATCAATAAGGGATCATAGCTTTCACCTGGATTCACGTGGTCAGTCTGTCATGGAAAGAGCAGGTGTTAATGATTTGTACACTCAGCGTATATGGGTTTCATCAGTTTATGCAGCAGTAGAGCCAAGCATTAAATGGTAGGCCTACATACATAGCTACCAGAAGGTTGGTGCCCTGAAATTCAGGTGGAGAATAGTGCAGTTACTGCATGCCATTGAGCACAGTAATTCACCTGGCTTCCTCCAGTACAGAACATACTCAGCTAGAAAAAAATAAAAAATGGGAGAGCTGTGGAAGTATCTTTGGATGAAAAACATTAAGCAAAGAAACCATTTAACTCCCACTTTCACTGGGTCAGTGGTGGAATGGGGCTTTGGGGCCTATAGGGAGGGCCTCTAACCTTGATAAGTCGGCCTTGCTCCGTCTGCAGAGTGGTGAGCTCTTGACCCAGGTTCCCCTGGCCTCGCCTCAGAGATTCGTACTCCAACTTGAGCTGGTTGGCGTGGCCCGATAGCTTGGCCACCTCCTCAGCCAGCTTTACCAGCAGGGCCCGTTCCTGGCCCTTCACTGACTTCAGGTCCGTGTCATGGTCAGTTAGCGAGTGGAGCAGCGACGTCTGCACGCCCTCCAGCTGCAGGAAGTTGTTGTTGTAGTCTGGGCAGTTGGGGTCGATGAAGATGTTGATGTGCGAACCATCGCCCCGCTCGACCGTCACCAGGGCGTTAACCCCGTCGTGGTTGGTGGAGATGAGTGGGGGGCCGTCATTGGTGCCGGGGGGCGGGGCTTGGTAGTGGTTCATGAGTAGGATGGTACCGGTTGCCGTGATGGCCAGGAGGACGGCCACGAAGAGCAGGATGGTGCACAGGAAGTAGCTACAGCCCATCCTCTGGGGAGACAGGTGAGAGAGACACAGAGAGGAGAGAATAGCATGAGATTAGGACCCACTTTAGACAAACAATTTATACAGGTTTTATAGAACATTCATAAAGGATTCATAAGCACTACATAGAATCATTTATAAGCAAAGTCATACTACACTGAACAAAAATATAAATGCAACAATTTTTTTACGTTACAGTTCATATAAGGAAATCAGTTAATTAATTAATTTGGCCCTAATCTATGGATTTCACATGACCAGTAATGCAGATATGCATCTGTTGGTCACAGATATCTTAACGAAAAATGTAAAGGCATGGATAAGAAAACCAGTCAGTATCTGGTGTTACCACCATTTGCCTCATGCAGCGTGACACATCTCCTTCGCATAGAGTTGATCAGGCTGTTGAGTGTGAACTGTGGAATGTTGTACCACTCCTCTTCAATGGCTGTGTCGAAGTTGCTGGAAATTGGCGAGAACTGGAACACGCTGTCGTACACGTCGATCCAGAGCATCCCAAACAGGCTCAATGGGTGACATACAGTGCATTCGGAAAGGATTCAGACCCCTTGACTTTTTCCACATTTTGTTATGTTACAGGCTTGTTCTAAAATGTATTACATTTCCCCCATCAATCTACACACATTACCCCATAATGACAAAGCGAAAACAGGTTTTTAAATATGTTGGGAAATTAAATATAAAATAATACAAAAAATACCTTATTTACATAAGTATTCAGACCCTTTGCTATGAGACTTTTCCATTGATCATCCTTGAGATGTTTCTACAACTTGGAGTCCACCTGTGGTAAATTCAATTGATTGGACATAATTTGGAAAAGCACACACCTGTCTATATAAGGTCCCACAGTTGACAGTGCATGTCAGAGCAAAAACCAAGCCATGAGGTCGAAGGAATTGTCCTAGAACTGGCCGCCCAGCCAAACTGAGCAATCTGGGGAGATGGCCTTGGTCAGGGAGGTGACCAAGAACCCGATGTTCACTCTGACAGAGCTCCAGAGTTCCTCTGTGGAGATGGGAGAACCTTCCAGAATGACACCTATCTCTGCAGCACTCCACCAATCAGGCCTTTATAGTAGAGTGGCCAGATGGAAGCCACTCATCAGTAAAATGCACATGACAGGCCCGCTTGGAGTTTGCCAAAAAGCACCTAAAGGACAAGATTCTCTGGTCTAATGAAACCAAGATTGAATTATTTGGCCTGAATGCCAAGTGTCACGTCTGGAGGAAACCTGGCACCATCTCTACGGTGAAGCATGGTGGTGGCAGCATCATGCTGTGAGGATGTTTTTCAGAAGCAGGGACTGGGAGACTAGTCAGGATCGAGGGAAAGATGAACGGAGCAAAGTACAGAGAGATCCTTGATGAAAACGTACTTCAGAGCACTCAGGACCTCAGGCGAAGGTCCACCTTCCAACAGGACAATGACCCTAGGCACACAGCCAAGACAACGCAGGAATGGCTTCAGGACAAGTCTCTGAATGTCCTTGAGTGGCCCAGCCAGAGCCCAGACTTGAACCCGATTTAACATCTCTGGAGAGACCTGAAAATAGCTGTGCAGCAATGCTCCCTATCCAACCTGACAGAGCTTGAGAGGATCTATAGAGAAGAATGGGAGAAACTCCCCAAATACAAGTGTGCCAAGCTTTTTAGCTTCGTACCCAAGAAGAATCGAGGCTGTAATCGATGGCAAAGGTGCTTCAACAAAGTACTGGGTGAAGGGTCTGAATATTTCTGTAAATGTGATATGTTTTATATATTTTTTAATACATTTGCTAAAATTTCTAAAAACCTGTTTATGCTTTGTCATTATGGGGTATTGTATGCAGATTGATGAGGATACATTTTTTTTTTATCGAAGGAATTGACCGTAGAGCTGCGAGACAGGATTGAGTCGAGGCACAGATCTGGGGAAGGGTACCAAAACATGTTTGCAGCATTGAAGGTCCCCAAGAACACAGTGAGCTCCACCATTCTTAAATGGAGGAAGTTTGGAACCACCAAGACTGTTCCTAGAACTGAGCAATCGGGGGAGAAGGGCTTTGGTCAGGGAGGTGACCAAGAACCTGAGGGTCACTCTGACAAAACTCCAGAGTTCCTCTGTGGAGATGGGAGAACCTTCCAGAAGGCCAACCATCTCTGCAGCACTCCACCAATCAAGCCTTTATGGTGGAGTGGCCAGACGGAAGCCACTCCTCAGTAAAAGGCACATGACAGCCCGCTTGGAGTTTTCCAAAAGGCAACTAAAGGACTCTGACAATGAGAAACAAGATTCTCTGGTCTGATGAAACCAAGATTGAACTCTTTGGCCTGAATGCCAAGCGTCACGTCTGGAGGGAACCTGGCACCATCCCTACGGTGAAGGATGGTGGTGGCAGCATCATGCTGTGGGGATGTTTTTCCGCAGCAGGGACAGGGAGACTAGTCAGGATTGTGGGAAAGATGAACGGAGCAAAGTACAGAGAGATCCTTGATGAAAACCTGCTCCAGAGCGCTCAGGACCTGAGACTGGGAGAAGGTTTACCTTCCAACAGGACAATGACCCTAAGCATACAGCCAAGACAGCGCAGGAGTAGCTTCGGGACAAGTCTCTGAATGTCCTTGAGTGGCCCTGCCACTCGAACATCGATGGAGAGACCTAAAAATAGCTGTGCAGCGACGCTCACCATCCAACCTGACAGAGCTTGAGAGGATCTGCAGAGAAGAATGGGAGAAATCCCCAAATACAGGTGTGCCAAGCTTGTAGCGTCGTATCCAAGAAGACTTGATACCATAACTCCACAGACACCATAAGGTACTCTGTTCACAATGTTGACATCAGCAAACCGCTCGCCCACACGTCTGCCCGGTACATTGAAATTTGGATTCCTCTGTGAAGAGCAAAATTCTCCAGCATGCCAGTGACAATCGAAGGTGAGCATTTGCCCACTGAAGTAGGTGACAACGCCGAACTGCAGTCAGGTCAAGACCCTAGTGAGGACGACGAGCACACAGATGAGCTTCCCTGTGCAAACTCACAGTTTCATCAGCTGTCCGGGTGGCTGGTCTCAGATGATCCCACAGGTGAAGAAGCTGGATGTGGTGGTCCTGGGCTGGCGTGGTTACACATTGTCTGCGGTTGTGAGGCCGGTTGGACGTACTGCCAAATTCTCTAAAACTACGTTGGAGGCGGCTTATGGTAGAGAAATTAATATTACATTCTCTGGCAACAGCTCTGGTGGACATTTCTGCAGTCAGCATGTCAACACAACATGTGAAGTGTTGTTTCCATGTTTCATGAGCTGAAATAAAAGATCCCAGAAATGTTCTATGTGCACTTAAAGCTTATTTCTCTCAGAGTTTGTGCACGAATTTGTTTAAATCCCTGTTAGTGAGCATTTTTCCTTTGCCAAGATAATCCATCCACCTGAACGGTGTGGCATATCAAGATGCTGATTAAACAGCATGATCATTACACAGGTGCACCTTGTGCTGGGGACAATAAAAGACCACTAAAATGTGCACAATGCCACAGATCGGTGGGTGCAATTTGTATGCTGACTGCAGAAATGTCCACCAGAGTGTTTGTCAGAGAATTGAATGTTAATTTCTCTACCATAAGCCACCTCCAACGTTATTTTAGAGAATTTGGTAGTACGTCCAACTGGCCTCACAACCGCAAACCACGTGTATGGCGTTATGTGGGCACAAAGAGATACCGTGATGAGATCCTGAGGACCATTGTCGTGCCATTGATCCTCCGCCATCACCTCATGTTTCAGCATGATAATACACGGCCCCATGTCGCAAGGATCTGTAGACAATTCCTGGAGCTGAAAATGTCCCAGTTCTTCCATGGCCTGCATACTCAACATGTCACCCATTGAGCATATTTGGGATGCTCTGGATCGACGTGTACGCCAGCGCATTCCAATTCCCGCCAATATCCAGCAACTTCGCACAGCCATTGAAGAGGAGTGGGACAACATTCCACAGGCCACAATCAACAGCCTGATCAACTCTATGCGAAGGATGTGTCACGTTACATGAGGCAAATGGTGGTCACAGCAGATACTGACTGGTTTTCTGATCCACGGCCTAACCTTTTTTAAAAAGGTATCTTTATTCCCAGTCATGTGAAATCCATAGATCAGGGCGTAATTAATTTATTTGAATTGACTGATTTCCTTATATGAACTGTAACTCAGTAAAATCTTTTTGCATTTTTGTTCAGTATATATAAGCCTGTGTAGGTATAGGAACTAAAGCAAGATAGACTGTTAGGCTGAATCCTAACATGAGATATTTGCGTATAACTCAAACTTTTGTGCATACATTCCATTTACATCAACATATGATCGAAAATATTATATGATGTATAGAGTTACATACACATATCTCAGGTTTGGCCTTCTGAGCGTGAGAAATAGTAAAACCACTGCTTATCGACAGGAAGTTGTGAAAAAATTAATGTAATTTTGATAGATATCTTGAAATACTGTACATAATTTCCCTTTCAACTCGTGAATAAATAATTGATTGAAATGGGCAAAAAGTATTTAGGATCCAACCTTGCCTCAACGAATCCGATTCTTACCCATCTACTCATAGCAAACCACTCTCACCACTAGACAAATAATTCACTCCACTTCAGTCTGTCTCACAATCCTTACACACAGACAATTCTAAAATCGTTAAATATCCAAAACATACCACCGACATCCATTGTCGTACAATATCAAATAAATGGGAACTACAGTAGGCTTCCGACTGCTTTGGGCTGACAAGGGGTTTGGAAAACCAACTCCTCTCCGAATGTGCATTTTGTGTTTCTCCTTTTTTGCATCATGGTGCTGAGGCAAGCATCCCCGCAGGGGAGGGAAGGAGAGTGGGACAGGAAATAAACTGGGTCTTGGCTTGCAGCTCAATCGTCTGTGCTTTGGCTAGGCGTTTCCACATAACAGCTCTCTCAACTGTGGGAGAACTAGTGTTTGTGAGTATGTGTGTGTACATTTGGGCGCATGTGTGTCTGCATGCATGAACTAGACCATTGCACTTCAGACAGTTAGCTATAATGACAAATGAAGTGATTGACACAGGAGGGGCAAAGACTAGAGCTCAGGGACCCTGTCACTGCCACATTGAAGGCCTTGCTTTGTAGTGTTTTTCTTTTGAGGTGTTCAGAGTTGTTGTTTTTTTTGTTGTTTTTTTGCTGTTTTTCAAATGCCATTTCAATGTGTTTCTACTGGATAGGAGAAATTGCTCCCTTGTGTGATCCCAGAGCAATGTTTTCATACCTTTTCCTTCTCTTCTCTTACAAATGGCACATACTGATAGCATGGTCATAATGTCTGCCTCCTCCCCTTGACTTTTTCTACATTTTGATAGGTTACAGCCTTATTGTAAAATTGATTAAATTGTATTTTTTCCTCATCAATCTACACACAATAAACCATCATGACAAAGCAAAAACAGGATTTTAGAAAATGTTGCTAATTTATATTAAAAATAAAAATTATATTATGTTGAAGCACCTTTGGCAGCGATTACAGCCTCGAGTCTTCTTGGGTATGACGTTACAAGCTTGGCACACCTGTATTTGGGGAGTATCTCCCATTCTTCTCTGCAGATCCTCTCAAGCTCTGTCAGGTTGGATGGGGAGCGTCGCTGCACAGCTATGTTCAGGTCTCTCCAGAGATGTTTGATCGGGTTCAAGTCTGGGCTCTGGCTGGGCCACTCAAGAACATTCTGAGACTTGTCCCGAAGCCACTCCTGCATTGTCTTGGCTGTGTGCTTAGGGTCATTGTCCTGTTGGAAGGTAAACCTTCGTCCCAGTCTGAGGTTCTGAGCGCTCTGGAGCAGGTTTTCATCAAGGATCTCTCTGTACTTTGCTCTGTTCATCTTTACCTTAATCCTGACTAGTCTCCCAGTCCCTGCCGCTGAAAAACATCCCCACAGCATGATGCTGCCACCACCATCCTTCACCGTAGGGATGGTGCCAGGTTCCCTCCAGACATGATGCTTGGCATTCAGGCCAAAGAGTTCAATCTTGGTTTCATCAGACCAGAGAATCTTGTTTCTAATGGTCTGAGAGTCCTTTAGGTGCCTTTTGGCAAACTCCAAGCGGGCCTTCATGTGCCTTTTACTGAGGAGTGGCTTCTGTCTGGACACTACCATAAAGGCCTGATTGGTGGAGTGCTGCAGAGAGGGTTGTCCTTCTGGAAGGTTTTCCCATCTCCACAGAGGAATTCTGGAGCTCTGTCAGAGTGACCATCGGGTTCTTGGTCACCTCCCTGACCAAGGCCCTTTTACCCCGATTGCTCAGTTTGGCCAGGCGGCCAGCTCTATGAAGAGTCTTGGTGGTTCCAAACTTCTTCCATTTAAGAATGATGGAGGCCACTGTGTTCTTGGGGACCTTCAATGCTGCAGAAATTATTTGGTACCCTTCCCTATATCTGTGCCTTGACATGATCCTGTCTCGGAGCTCTACGGACAATTCCTTCGACCTCATGGCTTGGTTTTTGCATTGACATGCACTGTCAACTGTGGGACCTTATATGGACAGGTGTGTGCCTTTGTAAATCATGCCCAATAGAATTTACCACAGGTGGACTCCAATCAAGTTGTAGAAACATCTCAAGGATGATCAATGGAAACAGGATGCACCGGAGCTCAATTTCGAGTCTCATAGCAAAGGGTCTGAATACTTATGTAAATAAGGTATTTATGTTTTTTATTTATAATAAATGTGCACACATTTATGTTTTCACTTTGTCATTATGGGGTATTGTGTGTAGATTGAGGAAAAAATTATAATTTCATCCATTTTAGAATAAGGTTGTAACATAACAAAATGTGGAAAAAGTCAAGGGGTCTGAATACTTTCCGAATGCACTGTATTCTGCATCCTAGTGCTGTATGTACTCTATAAAGTTACCCAGTGGACACAATTTGGAATGGGATGTCATAGTGACATACATTTAGGTTATAAACTGTTTTTTGGGGTTGTAGAGAAGCCAAATGACCAGATTACAACCAGGTAAAGATGTCAGTCATGACGAAATTAAGACGGTCTGGGAAGGATGGCCAGATTGCAACTATTTAAGGATGTGTTTTTCTGGTCCGTAAAAATAAGTAAAAAAATGTATTTTTATCAGTATACAACCTGACCATTTACGTCACAAAAGACATCATTATTACGTAATTGCAACATCTATTTTTATTTATTTTTAGCGGGGCACAGTATCATAGAGGAAATGAGAAATACAGCCAGTCATTGATTTAGTGCCACAGCTGCAATGGAGCATTCAGCCTGTTAAAACTAGGCCCGGCCTGACCCATCCACAGACTGTGGAGCTACTCCCTATCCTTTCCCCCACAGCATCCTCTGCAGGCATTGTCATATTTATTTTAAAGATAATTAATGTGCACAAAGGATCCCAGCCTACTGCGCCATGCTGCACAAGAGAAAAGAGTCCCCAACCAATTTGTTACACCAAAGCCACAATGCCGCCTGTCTGCAAGAATTATTGGCCTTTATTGTAGAGAAGAGAACCCTCTGAACACATCTATACGAGGAAGAGCAGAACAGAGAAGACTGGGGCTCCACGCTTTTCCTGTGAGCCTAAACACTCTGCTGCTTACCCTTTGTAACACAATACCAAAGCAGACACATAGAGCTGTGTGTGTGTCTGTGTGTGTATCACTATTTGAAAGCATTTGAAAGCGAGGCAAGTCGTCACCTCTCATATCCAATTCTACCGTCGTGCCCTTGAATGCGGCATACGACAACTCAAACGCAGCCATTCATATCTTGGCATCTCTGCCACCTCTGGCCCTGTTAGCCACTAAGGTTGGCATTGGAAAAGCACACTGCTGAGCAGAGACAATATTTGAGAACTTTTATCCGTCCATGCAGCAGAGAGAGAGAAAAGCTCACTGGGAGTACAGGCTTGGGCTGCACCAGCAGGGAGCTGTCGAACAGAATGAGCCGCCCTTATTCCTCTCCTCTCCTCCACCCCATCTCTCCTTCCCCTCTCGTTTCCTCCTCTCCTCCACCCCATCTCTCCTTCCCCTCTCGTTTCCTCCTCTCCTCTATCTCGTGTTTCATCTGGTGCAGCCAGACAAGGCCAAGACAGGCAGTGACATTGAACACCTCAGGACTAGGGGAGGTCACTGCTGCTGAGTCACACAGGAGAAAGGGGGTGACAGCACTACTGACTGCTTCTTTGGACTGTGAAAAGTGAAGTGTCAAGTGCTCACAATGGAATTGAGCCTAACCTAAAGGGAAGGCACATTTTGAGGGGGGGGGGGGGGGTTACTGTCACATACAGCGACTGATGAAAATATTACAACTGTCATATAAGATTATTATGTCAAATATGTATAGATGCTGTTCTTCTACTAATCTCACTGCAACTCCCCTCCAAGTCTCCGACCACTACTTTGTATCCTTTTCTCTCTCGCTCTCCTCCAACACTACTCACTCTGCCCCTAATGCGCCGCCGCAACCTTCGCGCTCTCTCTCTCCCGCTACTCTCTCCTCTTCCATCCTATCATCTCTTCCCTCTGCTAAATCCTTCTCCCTCCGATCTCCTGATTCTGCTTCCTCAACCCTCCTCTCCTCCCTTTCTGCATCTTTTGACTCTCCATGTCCCCTATCCTCCCGGCCGGCTCGGTCCTCCCCTCCTGCTCCGTGGCTTGACGACTCATTGCGAGCTCACAGAACAGGGCTCCGGGCAGCCGAGTGGAAATGGAGGAAAACTAGACTCCCTGCGGACCTGTCATCTTTTCACTCCCTCCTCTCTACATTCTCTTCCTCTGTTTCTGCTGCTAAAGCCACTTTCTACCACTCTAAATTTCAAGCCTCTGCCTCTAACCCTAGGAAGCTCTTTGCCACCTTCTCCTCCCTGCTGAATCCTCCTCCTCCTCCCCCTCCCTCCTCCCTCTCTGTGGATGACTTCGTCAACCATTTTGAAAAGAAGGTTGACGACATTTGGTCCTCATTTATTAAGTCAAATGACACCTGCTCACACTGACCTACCCTATGCTTTGACTTCTTTCTCCCCTCTCTCTCCAGATGAAATCTTGCAACTTGTGACGGCCGGCCGCCCAACAACCTGCCCGCTTGACCCTATCCCTTCCTCTCTTCTCCAGACCATTTCCGGAGACCTTCTCCCTTACCTCACCTCGCTCATCAACTCATCCTTGACCGCTGGCCATGTCCCTTCCGTCTTCAAGAGAGCGAGAGTTGCACCCCTCCTCAAAGAACCTACACTCGATCCCTCCGATGTCAACAACTACAGACCAGTATCCCTTCTTTCTTTTCTCTCCAAAACTCTTGAGTGTGCTGTCTCTAGCCAACTCTCCTGCTATCTCTCTCAGAATGACCTTCTTGATCCAAACCAGTCAGGTTTTAAGACTGGTCATTCAACTGAGACTGCTCTTCTCTGTGTCACGGAGGCTCTCCGCACTGCTAAAGCTAACTCTCTCTCCTCTGCTCTTATCCTTCTAGACCTATCCGCTGCCTTTGATACTGTGAACCATCAGATCCTCCTCTCCACCCTCTCAGAGTTGGGCATCTCCGGCGCTGCTCACTCTTGGATTGCGTCCTACCTGACAGGTCGCTCCTACCAGGTGGCGTGGCGAGAATCTGTCTCCGCACCACGTGCTCTCACCACTGGTGTCCCCCAGGGCTCAGTTCTAGGCCCTCTCCTATTCTCTCTATACACTAAGTCACTTGGCTCTGTCATACCCTGACATGGTCTCTCCTATCATTGCTACGCAGACGACACACAATTCATTTTCTTCTGATACCAGGTGGCGAATCGCATCTCTGCTTGTCTGGCAGACATATCAGTGTGGATGTCGGATCACCACCTCAAGCTGAACCTCGGCAAGACGGAGCTGCTCTCCCTCCCGGGGAAGGACTGCCCGCTCCATGATCTCGCCATCACGGTTGACAACTCCATTGTGTCCTCCTCCCAGAGTGCAAAGAACCTTGGCGTGACCCTGGACAACACCCTGTCGTTCTCCGCTAACATCAAAGTGGTGACACGATCCTGCAGGTTCATGCTCTACAACATTCGCAGAGTACGACCCTACCTTACACAGAAAGCGGCACAGGTCCTAATCCAGGCACTTGTCATCTCCCATCTGGATTACTGCAACTCGCTGTTGGCTGGGCTCCCTGCCTGTGCCATTAAACCCCTACAACTTATCCAGAACGCTGCAGCCCGTCTGGTGTTCAACCTTCCCAAGTTCTCTCATGTCACCCCGCTCCTCTGCACACTCCACTGGCTTCCAGTTGAGGCTTGCATCTACTACAAGACCATGGTGCTTGCCTACGGAGCTGTGAGGGGAATGGCACCTCCTTACCTTCAGGCTCTGATCAGACCCTACACCCAAACGAGGGCACTACGTTCATCCACCTCTGGCCTGCTAGCGCCCCTACATCTACGGAAGCACAGTTCCCGCTCAGCCCAGTCAAAGCTATTCGCTGCTCTGGCACCCCAATGGTGGAACAAGCTCCCCCACGACGCCAGGACAGCGGAGTCACTGACCACCTTCCGGAGACACTTGAAACCCTACCCCTTTAAGGAATACCTGGCATAGTATAAAAGTAATCCTTCTAACCCCCCTCCCCCACCCCCCCATAAAAATTAATAAATAGTGGTTGTCCCACTGGCTATCATAAGTTGAATGCACCAATTTGTAAGTCGCTCTGGATAAGAGCGTCTGCTAAATGATGTAAATGTAATGATCAATAGTATGGGAGATTTCCCAAGTGAAATTATCATTAAGAATGAAGTCTTAATGGGAGCTATTGCCTGTAACAGAGCTACAGTGTATTCTCCTGTACAAGGCCAGTATATGCTTGTTCTACATAACGCTGACCGGTGCTATTTGTGAGGCTATCAGGCTATTAATTGTCAGGCGGTGGTTGAATAGCTCCCAGATCACGGCTTAGCCTGAAACACTATACACACAATAATCCACTTGAGCAGATAACCTTGGATCTGAGCCGTTCTGAGCTGTGGCCCTTACTTAAACAGAGGACGCTTGTCCTCAACTGGTCTTCGCTTGTCCTCAACTTGACCGTAACTGCGCTACAGTTTTCTATGTGGAGGGAGGCAGAAGGGAAGCTAGGGTGTATCTGAAATGGTCAAAACTAGTGCACTATATAGTAAATAGAGTGCCACTTTAAACAGCCTATGAGGAAGGAGGCAGAAGGGAAGCTAGCTCAGCTCTCTGTACCATTAGAAAGTAGAGGGATAATGAAAATCATGAGGTGCTCTCATCTGACCCTCTGGTATGACTTGAGCACAGGTGCTGGCCTTAATGGTGTACTTGTGCTATGGGTACAGGGAGGGCATGCAGGCTCCAGGATATGTGTCTCATGCGAAAAGCCTGGCACCAAATTAAAAACCTTGACCCTCCTGCAGGCTGGGAATAATGAGGCTGACGCTGCAGCGATTTCATTTCATTACTGTACATGACAAAAAGGCCTGGTTCGAGCATTACACACACACACACACACACACACACACCAGAGGCGCAGGATTTTTATCATTGCAGTTGGTATCTACTTAGCTCATCATTAATTCATTTTTTAATGGGGAACATTTACCAAGTGGATTTATATTAAAAATCATGCAGGAAATGTAACTGCTCCTCCTCAGTGCCAACCCCTAACTGGCCTGCTGTTCTGAAGTTTTACTGGGGATGGAAGACAATGAGAACTCCCTGTGTTCTAGAATGTCAGTGCAGATGTCAAGACTGGTTGGTCTTCCACTTGGGGATTGGAAAAGACCATGGGGCCTAGATCAGTCTTTGGGCAGACAGACATAGTCACAGACTGTCAGTGGTGGAAAAAGTACCCAATTGTCATACTTGAGTAAAAGTAAAGATACCTTAATAGAAAATGACTCAAGTAAAAGTGAAAGTCACCCAGTAAAATGCTACTTGAGTAAAAGTGTAAAAGTATTTGGTTTCAAATATACTTAAGTATCAAAAGTAAATGTACCCAATTTAGGACTGTAGTGAAGTAAAAGTTGTCAAAAATATAAATAGTAAAGTAAAGTGCAGATACCCCCAAAAACCACTTATGTAGTACTTTCAAGTATTTTTTACTTAAGTACTTTACACCACTGCAGAATGTATACCACTACCTGTGTTGTGTTTTTGCCTCACATTTTCATATCCTGTGTGATGTTAATGTTAAAGCACATTTCCTGGTAGTCAGAGTGACTCCTTCTATTGTTCTTAGCACACATACAGTGGACTCAATCTGACAGCAATCTGCAAACAGCAGCTGGTACAAGGTGCCAGAGAAAAGAGGGGTGAAATAGCTCACCTTCAGGACAAACACGGAACGCTTTCAAGCATACTCAAGAGGGAGTTGGTGCCAAGCTGGCACTGACATGCTGTGATTGTCATCCATGCATACAATGTGACCGGGCCACTCGGTCATGTTTTTCTATTTAACAACTAATCACTGGTAAATATTGCCCCCGGATTGGTCTATTCAAATCAAATGTCATTTGTCACATGCCTCGTAAACAACAGGTGTTGACTAATAGTGAAATGCTTACTTATGGGTCCTTTTCCAACAATGCAGAGTTAAAGATAACTAAATAAAAATATAGAAATAGTGAGAAGAGGAATAAATACACAGTGATGGCTTTGCCTACCAGAGTACACTGCTGAGAGCCCATTTAGCACATGGTCACCCAAACCCATAATACAGACTTATGAAGTCAATGGCAAGCTTTTGGGGTAGGGGAGGGATGCACGGAAGATAAAAAATAAGAAAACGGTTTGATCTTTGTACACCACAACCATGGGAGAATAATCCCTGAAAGCTATCGGAGACTCTTTGTGCTCCGGGCTCAGTAGTCGACTTACTCCTCCGCAGCTGGGTGATTAAGACTCCGTCTTGTGTATTTTAGTCTGATCCTCTAGCCAAGAGGGGATAACACACAGGCCACCCTGCTGCTCTGTGTCAGCATTCATTGAATTTCCTCACTGATATCTGTACCTTTTCCTCACACCACAGCGAGAGTGTATTTAGGACAATCCTGAGCGATACATCCATTCAGTGGTAGGGAGGCTGTGTCTAATTGAGAAACTGATGGTGAGTGCAACAGGCATGGCTGTATATCAGCAATAATTAGGAGAAAGCTCAAATCCAATTGTGGTTAAGCTGAACTGCACTGATCTTGTATAATGTTAAGAGAATGGATGGCCAGATGCATATTTATCAGGTGAGCAGAGGAATAATAATAATTAGTCATTTAGCAGACGCTCTTATCCAGAGCGACTTACAGGAGCAATTAGGGTTAAGTGCCTTGCTCAAGGGCACATCGACAGATTTTTCACCTAGTCGGCTCGGGGATTAGAACCAGCGACCTTTCGGTTACTGGCACAACGCTCTTAACCACTAAGCTACCTAAGCTACCTAATGTACAGTAAGCAGTAACTATGATGCAAAGCCATTCAAATGCAAATATGAACAGAGGGAAACTCCTTTTTACCTCATATCAGGAAGAAATTATGAGCCTCTATGTTGGGAAGAAAATATTTTATTACCAAGGCACAATTCCACTGCTCTGCAAACACAGTTCTGTTTATCAATTTAGCAGAGCATTCTGGTAGAAACTAAGGATGTCGGATCTTTTTGGACAGACTGCGTTTTTATAAGTGGAAAAAAATATTTTTGTGATAGTTCAAAGGGACAATACAATACACACCCCCATGACTGATGCAGAAAAACAGACATCTCATTTTAACCAGAGATCACAACTGCTGACCACAGTACGTGTACAGTTGAAACCATTTCGTTACACTATTTTAGTGTGCTATTTGTTTTAATCAAAATGATAAACATACTTAATAATTATAGTTTGGTTTCTTTGTGATTAAATAAAACAAGCACCACTATCCTTTGGGATGAGGAAGTTACTTCAAATAATTATTCGTACTGAGTGCCAGAATGTATCCATCATTATCATAAAATGTGTTAATGAATACCAGGTAAACACCTGCAGAAATAGGACTGTATTGTTACTTTGTATAAATGTGTGTGTGTGTGTGTGCGCAATGTGCCTAAACATACAGTGAGGGAAAAAGTATTTGATCCCCTGCTGATTTTGTACGTTTGCCCACTGACAAAGACATGATCAGTTTATAATTTTAATGGTAGGTTTATTTGAACAGTGACAGACAGAATAACAACAAAAAAATCCATAAAAACGCATGTCGAAAATGTTATAAATTGATTTGCATTTTAATGAGGGAAGTAAGTATTTGACCCCTCTGCAAAACATGACTTAGTACTTGGTGGCAAAACCTTTGTTGGCAATCACATAGGTCAGACGTTTCTTGTAGTTGGCCACCAGGTTTGCACACATCTCAGGAGGGATTTTGTTCCACTCCTCTTTGCAGATCTTCTCCAAGTCATTAAGGTTTCGAGGCTGACGTTTGGCAACTCGAACCTTCAGCTCCCTCCACAGATTTTCTATGGGATTAAGGTCTGGAGACTGGCTAGGCCACTCCAGGACCTTAATGTGCTTCTTCTTGAGCCACTCCTTTGTTGCCTTGGTCATGTGTTTTGGGGTATTGTCATGCTGGAATACCCATCCACGACCCATTTTCAATGCCCTGGCTGAGGGAAGGAGGTTCTCACCCAAGATTTGACGGTACATGGCCCCGTTCATCGTCCCTTTGATGCGGTGAAGTTGTCCTGTCCCCTTAGCAGAAGAACACCCCCAAAGCATAATGTTTCCACCTCCATGTTTGACAGTGGGGATGGTGTTCTTGGGGTCATCGGCAGCATTCCTCCTCCTCCAAACACGGCGAGTTGAGTTGATGCCAAAGAGCTCTATTTTGGTCTCATCTGACCAGAACACTTTCACCCAGTTCTCCTCTGAATCATTCAGATGTTCATTGGCAAACTTCAGACGGGCCTGTATATGTGCTTTCATGAGCAGGGGGACCTTGCGGGCGCTGCAGGATTTCAGTCCTTCACAGCATAGTGTGTTACCAATTGTTTTCTTGGTGACTATGGTCCCAGCTGCCTTGAGATCATTGACAAGATCCTCCCGTGTAGTTCTGGGCTGATTCCTCACCGTTCTCATGATCATTGCAACTCCACGAGGTGAGATCTTGCATGGAGCCCCAGGCCGAGGGATATTGACAGTTCTTTTGTGTTTCTTCCATTTGCGAATAATCGCACCAACTGTTGTCACCGTCTCACCAAGCTGCTTGGCAATGGTCTTGTAGCCCATTCCAGCCTTGTGTAGGTCTACAATCTTGTCCCTGACATCCTTGGAGAGCTCTTTGGAGTTTGGAATCTGATTGATTGATTGCTTCTGTGGACAGGTGTCTTTTATACAGGTAACAAGATGAGATTAGAAGCACTCCCTTTAAGAGTGTGTTCCTAATCTCAGCTCGTTACCTGTATAAAAGACACCTGGGAGCCAGAAATCTTTCTGATTGAGAGGGGGTCAAATACTTATTTCCCTCATTAAAATGCAAATCAATTTATAACATTTTTGACATGCGTTCTTCTGGATTTTTTTGTTGTTATTCTGTCTGTCACTGTTCAAATAAACCTACCATAAAAATTATAGACTGATCATTTCTTTGTCAGTGGGCAAACGTACAAAATCAGCAGGGGATCAAATACTTTTTTCCCTCTCTGTATGTGTGCCTACTCTGCCTGAATGTACAGTTGAAGTCGGAAGTTTACATACACCTTCGCCAAATACATTTATACTCAGTTTTTCACAATTCCTGACATTTAATCCTAGTAAAAATTCCCTGTCTAAGGTCAGTTAGGATCACCACTTTATTTTAAGAATGTGAAATGTCAGAATAATAGTAGAGAGAATGATTTATTTAAGCTTTTATTTCTTTCATCACATTCCCAGTGGGTCAGAAGTTTACATACACTCAATTAGTATTTGGTAGCATTGCCTTTAAATTGTTTAACTTGGGTCAAATGTTTTGGGTAGCCTTCCACAAGCTTCCCACAAGAATTTTGGCCCATTCCTCCTGACAGAGCTGGTGTAACTGAGTCAGGTTTGTAGGCCTCCTTGCACGAAAAAAGTTGCTATCAGTCAGTTGCATATAGACTTATATCTAAATGTTAAAATATAATATGAATTAATGAATCACCAGGTGGTAATAGGGTTCGTAATAGTTCAATTCTAGTTCAAAGGTCACATTGAAATCAGTGGTGGAGAGCAGATACATCTCAGGGGAGGACTATCAATTAGGGGCCATGTTGCCATAATATCAAATGAATACCAACCACTAGGTAGAAAATATACATTAAAAGTGTATTATAAATGCAATGTATTGTTATTATTTATATGACCCTGCCCTGCCTGCAACTACAATGATAAATGAACAGTATGCTCTCATTTAAGTGGGATGGAAATTGAAATGTTTTATCATTGGAAGGAATGAAAGGAAAGAAGTTTCAGCCACTGGTGGTAATCACAGTAATCCAGTCTGTTCAGTTAGGGGCTCACAGCAACTCTATAGGTCAGAATGAATCAGAGCAGAATGCATTAGCTGGACAACACAGACAATGCATAGCAATGTGTTGTTTAGAAACATATAAGATTTTGGCAGAACATCAACATCATCCATACCAAACGCAAAGGAGTGAAGTCTAGAATAGAATACAGAGACCACAGGAAACAAATCTTTGGAGTTTTCAGAAACACATTATCTACTACAGTCTGTTGGAATGATCTCATTGAAAGGCAAATTGGACATTTCCGGAGTTCTCCTAATGTGTTTGCAGCTTTCCCCATGACTCTTCTTTATCATCACCACACACAGACCTAACTGTAGATTACTTTTATTGCACTGTTCTGGTATGTGACTGGGTGGCAGGTTGCCTAACGGTTAAGAGCGTTGGGCCAAATCAAATCAAATTGTATTTGTCACATACACGTGTTTAGCAGATGTTATAGCGGGTGTAGCGAAATGCTTGTGCTTCTAGCTCCGACAGTGCAGTAATATCTAACAATTTCACAACATATACCCAATACACACAAAACTAGGAAGGAATGGAATTTAAGAATATATACATATATGGACAAGTAATGACAGAGTGGCATGGACTAAGATACAGTAGAATATTATAGAATAGAATACAGTATATACATATGAGATGAGTAGAGCAAAATATGTAAACATTATTTAAGTGACTAGTGTTCCATTTCTTAAAGTGGCTAGTGATTTCAATAGGCAGCAGCAGCCTCTAATGTGCTAGTGATGGCTATTTAACAGTCTGATGGACTTGAGATAGAAGCTATTTTTCATTCTCTCTGTCCCAGCTTTGATGCACCTGTACTGACCTCGCCTTCTGGATGATAGCGGGGTGAACAGGCAGTGGCTCGGGTGGTTGATGTCCTTGATTATCTTTTTGGCCTTCCTGTGACATCGGGAGCTGTAGGTGTCTTGAAGGGCAGGTAGTTTGCCCCCGGTAATGCGTTCGGCAGACCGCACCACCCTCTGGAGAACCCTGCGGTTGCGGGCGGTGCAGTTGCCATACCAGGCGGTGATACAGCCCAACAGGATGCTCTCAATTGTGCATCTGTAAAAGTTTGTGAGGGTTTTAGGTGCCAAGCCAAATTTCTTCCGCCTCCTGAGGTTGAAGAGGCTCTGTTACGCCATCTTCACCACACTGTCTGCGTGGGTGGACCATTTCAGTTTGTCTGTGATGTGTACGCCAAGGAACTTGAAGCTTTCCACCTTCTCCACTGCAGTCCCATCGATGTGGATAGGGGGGTGCACCCTCTGCTGTTTCCTGAAGTCGACGATCATCTCCTTTGTTTTGTTGACGTTGAGTGAGAGTTTTTTTTCCTGGCACCACACTCCCAGAGCCCTCACCTTCTCCATGTAGGCGGTCTCGTCATTGTTGGTAATCAAGCCTACTACTGTTGTGTCGTCTGCAAACTTGATGATTGAGTTGGAGGCGTGCTTGGCCATGCAAGGCGAATCCCTGAGCCGACTAGGTGAAAAATCTATCCTTGAGTGAGTCAATGAACCCTATAATTGAAAGAGAGTGTCTGCTAAATGATTAAAATGTAAATGTCATTGCTCCATCACTGGTTTACCGGTATCAACAATACCATGTACAGTAACTCTGGTGTTTTGGCAACAACAATGCAAGTGATTTCTGTATCATATTCATCATCTCTAATCAACATGCATCCCACTTGGCACAGATGTCAATTCCACATTGGTTCAACATAATTTCATTGACATGACTTGGAAACAAAGCTGATTCCACCAGTGTGTGCCCAGTGTGATGGAAGCCAAAAGGCTCCACTGCTCTCCTTGGTTGGAACATTGGAACTGTGATGACTTGAGGCCGGTCTGACAGATTGACATGGCTGGTTAGAGTTTTAAAATGTACTGTAAAGCCTGATTAGATTGTCCATAATGGATTATGGGGCTTGACAGTCTATCAGTCTATGATCTGAAGTGACAGATGCCAAGTCCACTCAAATGTCATCAACAGCATTCATGTCTCTCTACTACACTGTCATTTCCTCTCATTTTAACGGCTTGTGTGTGTGTGTGAGCGTGCGTGTGTGTGCGAGCGTGTGTGTGCATTGCTACTGCAGCTCTCTGGGGAGATGCACTCGCTTCTTTCGCTGTTCGCTGGCCGCCTACTGGAGGAGGTCAAAGTCATTTGCACCTCCTCTGGGTGGCTTTACACCAGGGCGATCCCTGGCGTCCGGTGGTCAGTGATAACGGGGCTTTAAAAGCCCTCAGGGTTCCCTTAGAGAAATGGCCTGTTTTTTTAAATACTGCTTTGGAAAAAAAGGTAAAAATGTAATATGAAAAAAATTAATGGGAGGGTGGAAGAGAAAGAAGGGAAAAAACGTAAGACTGAAGGAAAAAGAGAGAAAATGGGAGAAATTAGCATTGGCAGTAGAAGTAGCAAAAATTATACCACTTGTGACATTTTTCGCTTTCATTGTCAGCTGAAGATGCAATTTGAGCTCTACCTCCTCGACAGCTAAATGTTAACAACTTCCTTTTCACTGTTCAAGAAAATAACCTCTTAAGTCGGAGTACCAGTTCAGTCAAGGAGGCCTGAGCCTGTAGATGTATATTATAACAACAATTCCTCCTCAAAAATTGACCCTTAACTAATAAATGGTTGATGATTGATCCTATATCTACATCTGATCAATTGATCATGTATCCAAATCTAGGATCAACAGGCTTATAGGAAGCTAATGCAACAGACGCAGACACAACAACTCAGTGTTTCCATACTGTCGTGTTCAGACTGACGACAGTGACGTGGGCGTACTGGGACATGTTAATGGGTCCGACCGTGCAGCAAATGGGAGCTGGCAGATCGTGGGCTAGTCAGTGGATGGGCCAGTGGCAGGACAGATTGTTCTAATGAGCCATCTCCCAGAAATAACTAAGAGGCATTAGGAGGGGAGGGGGGCACCATTAATATCTCCGCTTCATGTTTCCCTGTAAGCAAACTTCCTCAGCATCTGCCTTTTCAGTTCAGTCCAGTCCCCAGCTGAAACACACACACACACACAAGGGGTGATAAAGGCCATAAATGAACCGAAAGGGGAGACTGAACTCCTTAACAACACCTTGTTGAACGTGTGAAATGTTTGAACGCCTGAATGCGTAAAAAAAAAAAAAAATATATATATATATATATATATATATATATATATATATATATATATATATATATATATATATATATATATATATATATATATATATACAGTGAGGGAAAAAAGTATTTGATCCCCTGCTGATTTTGTACATTTGTCCACTGACAAAGAAATGATCAGTCTATAATTTTAATGGTAGGTTTATTTGAACAGTGACAGACAGAATAACAACAACAAAATCCAGAAAAACGCATGTCAAAAATGTTATAAATTGATTTGCATTTTAATGAGGGAAATAAGTATTTGACCCCCTCTCAATCAGAAAGATGTCTGACTCCCAGGTGTCTTTTATACAGGTAAAGAGCTGAGATTAGGAGCACACTCTTAAAGAGAATGCTCCTAATCTCAGTTTGTTACCTGTATAAAAGACACCTGTCCACAGAAGCAATCAATCAATCAGATTCCAAACTCTCCACCATGGCCAAGACCAAAGAGCTCTCCAAGGGTGTCAGGGACAAGATTGTAGACCTACACAAGGCTGGAATGGGCTACAAGACCATCGCCAAGCAGCTTGGTGAGAAGGTGACAACAGTTGGTGCGATTATTCGTAAATGGAAGAAACACAAAATAACTGTCAATCTCCCTCGGCCTGGGGCTCCATGCAAGATCTCACCTTGTGGAGTTGCAATGATCATGAGAACGGTGAGGAATCAGCCCAGAACTACACGGGAGGATCTTGTCAATGATCTCAAGGCAGCTGGGACCATAGTCACCAAGAAAACAATTGGTAACACACTACGCCGTGAAGGACTGAAATCCTGCAGCGCCCGCAAGGTCCCCCTGCTCAAGAAAGCACATATACAGGGCCATCTGAAGTTTGCCAATGAACATCTGAATGATTCAGAGGAGAACTGTGTGAAAGTGTTGTGGTCAGATGAGACCAAAATCGAGCTCTTTGGCATCAACTCAACTCGCCGTGTTTGGAGGAGGAGGAATGCTGCCTATGACCCCAAGAACACCATCCCCACCGTCAAACATGAAACATTATGCTTTGGGGGTGTTTTTCTGCTAAGGGGACAGGACAACTTCACCGCATCAAAGGGACGATGGACGGGGCAATGTACCGTCAAATCTTGGGTGAGAACCTTCTTCCCTCAGCCAGGGCATTGAAAATGGGTCGTGGATGGGTAATCCAGCATGACAATGACCCAAAACACCCAGCCAAGGCAACAAAGGAGTGGCTCAAGAAGAAGCACATTAAGGTCCTGGAGTGGCCTAGCCAGTCTCCAGACCTTAATCCCATAGAAAATCTGTGGGGGGAGCTGAAGGTTCGAGTTGCCAAACGTCAGCCTCGAAACCTTAATGACTTGGAGAAGATCCGCAAAGAGGAGTGGGACAAAATCCCTCCTGAGATGTGTGCAAACCTGGTGGCCAACTAAAAGAAACATCTGACCTCTGTGATTGCCAACAAGGGTTTTATCACCAAGTACTAAGTCATGTTTTGTAGAGGGGTCAAATACTTATTTCCCTCATTAAAATGCAAATCAATTTATAACATTTTTGACATGCGTTTTTCTGAATTTTTTTGTTGTTATTCTGTCTCTCACTGTTCAAATAAACCTACGATTAAAATTATAGACTGATCATGTCTTTGTCAGTGGGCAAACGTACAAAATCAGCAGGGGATCAAATACTTTTTTCCCTCACTGTATATATATACATACTGTATATTTATATTGTCACAAGCGTGAATGTGTTTTTCTTATTTGATTTTTTAATTTCCTAACATTTATTGAAAAAAAGGGACAAGTCCATCCACTATATCGAGCCAAAGCCTAGAACTGGATGACCTGCCCCTTTCTATTGTTGTCACCTCACAGTTCAAATGTGAAGGTGAATGTGTGTAGCAGGATTTGGAGTCAGACGGTAACATTTGAGATGGAGTATAGGCTACGATTCTCAGCTGTGACATGTTTTCATATGGACTTGATAAGATTGTCTTTTCTTGTTCTGGACTGGCTGTCATTCAGTTATGTTTAGGGCTGTTTGTAGCCAAGCCTTACAGTTGTTTCAGTAAATTTCTTTTTTGGGCTTTGTAGTTCCCTAGCCTCAGAGGCAGCGCCAGACTATGATCAGCTGGGGTGCATTTTTTTCTAAAGGGGGGGCACTCTTTTTGATGTCTTGTTTATATATACAGTTGAAGTCGGAAGTTTACATACACTTAGGTTGGAGTCATTCAAACTCGTTTTTCAACCACTCCACACATTTCTTGTTAACAAACTATAGTTTTGGCAAGTCGGTTAGGACATCTACTTTGTCCAACAATTGTTTACAGACAGATTATTTAACTTATAATTAACTATATCACAATTCCAGTGGGTCTGAAGTTGACATACACTAAGTGGACTGTGCCTTTAAACAGCTTGGAAATTTCCAGAAAATTATGTCATGGCTTTAGAAGCTTCTGATAGGCTAATTGACATCATTTGAGTCAAATGGAGGTGTACCTGTGGATGTATTTCAAGGCCTACCTTCAAAATCAGTGCCTCTTGCTTGACATCATGGGAAAATCAAAAGAAATCAGCCAAGACCTCAGAAAAAAATTGTAGACCTCCACAAGTCTGGTTCATCCTTGGGTGCAATTTCAAAACGCCTGAAGGTACCATGTTCATCTGTACAAACAATAGTACGCAAGTATAAACACCATGGGACAATGCAGCCGTCATACTGCTCAGGAGAGAGACGTGTTTCTGTCTCCTAGACATGAACGTACTTTAGTGTGAAAAGTGCAAATCAATCCCAGAACAACAGCAAAGGACCTTGTGAAGTTGCTGGAGGAAACAGGTACAAAAGTATCTATATCCACAGTAAAACGAGTCCTATATCGACATAACCTGAAATGCCGCTCAGCAAGGTTGAAGCCACTGCTCCTAAACCGCCATAAAAAAGCCAGACTACAGTTTGCAACTGCACATGGGGACAAAGATCATACTTTTTTGAGAAATGTCCTCTGGTCTGATGAAACAAAAATAGAACTGTTTGGCCATAATGACCATCGTTATGTTTATAGGAAAAAGGTGGTTGCTTGCAAGACGAAGAACACCATCCCAACCGTGAAGCACGGGGGTGGCAGCATCATGCTGTGGGGGTGCTTTGCTGCAGGAGGGACTGGTGTACTTCACAAAACAGATGGCATCATGAGGAAGGATAATTATGTGGATATATTGAAGCAACATCTCAAGACATGAGTCAGGAAGTTAAAGATTGGTCGCAAATGGGTATTCCAAATGGATAATGATCCCAAGCATACTTCCAAAGTTGTGGCAAAATGGCTTAAGGACAACAAAGTCAAGGTAATCGAGTGGCCATCACAAAGTCCTGACCTCAATCCTAGAGAATATTTGTGGGCAGAACTGAAAAAGCGTGTGCGAGCAAGGAGGCCTACAAACCTGACTCCGTTACACCAGCTCTGTCAAGAGGAATGGGCTAAAATTCACCCAACTTATTGTGGGAAGCTTGTGGAAGGCTACCCGAAACGTTTGACCCAAGTTAAACAATTTAAAGGCAATGCTACCAAATACTAGTTGAGTGCATGTAATCTTCTGACCACTGGGAATGTGATGAAAGGAATAAAAGCTGAAATAAATCATTTTCTCTACTATTATTCTGACATTTCACATTCTTAAAATAAAGTGGTGATCCTAACTGACCTAATACAGGGAATTATTACTAAGATTAAATGTCAGGAATTGTGAAAAACCGAGTTTAAATGTATTTGGCTAAGGTGTATGTAAACTTCCGACTTCAACTGTATATAAAATATATGCAACGAATCTTCCACCAACAGATTGCTGTGCATGCTAATGCACCACATAACCAATAACCAAAGCATTAAAAATGTTCCGATATATACACTGGATCAGAGCCATTTATTTGAGCAGGACTACCCAATTATGGGACCCAAGGCAAGAACCTGTGGTCACAAGATAAATGCAATTCAGAACACAATATTTCCTAAAAACGTTGGCTATTAAAAACTTAGGCCTATGCATGCGGTATTCAACTCTTACCCTATGAGGTCCGGAGCCTGCTGTTTTTTTGTTCTACTTGATAATTAATTGAAAGCACCTGGTGTCCCATGTGTAAATCAGTCACTGATTAGAGGGGAACAATGAAAAAATGCAGTGGAACTGGCTTCGAGGTCCAGAGTTGAGTTTGAAGGGCCTATAGGATAAAGCTAAAATAACGTAGCCTATCAAATGAATTGACAAGGAAAGTTTGAAGGGGGATATAGAGACAGCTATGTGATAGTCAGCTTATGATGAATATGAAATGTACAACCATTATACATTTTAGTGTGGTTATGCTGATTGCTGACGCCACATTTTAATGTGTGTGTATGATCGGCCTATCTACATCTGTTTCCGGCTGATATTTTGTGTTTCTGTCTTGCATAGCACATGTTCAGGTGTTATGGCAGCATTGGCCTACGAATGATAGATAAATATACCCTGCCATGAAAAAGTATTTGCTCCCTTTCTGATTATCTCAATTTTTGCATATTTTTGATACTGAATGTTATCAGATCTTCAACCAAAACCTAATATTAGATAAACGGAACCTAGATTTGATTGTGTGTCTTGGATTATTGTCTTGCTGCATGACCCAGCTGCGCTTCAGCTTCAGCTCACAGATGGATGGCCTAACATTCTCCTGTAGAATTCT